AAAAAAAAGATCAGGTCAGCTGAAATAAAAGGGCCTGCAGAATCAGGAAAGGTATATTAGCAAAGAGCATGCTCTCTTCTAGAGCATAAGGATTCACAGGCTGCATCTGACATGCAGGTCCCTGTCCAGCTCCTAGCTGGGGCAAGCAGGATCTGCCAGAGCAGCAACCTCTGCAGCAGCATCTCTCAGCCAGACACCTCAGTCTTCTGCATCACATCATCCGCTGCATGACTGCCGCCATCACTCACGCTGAGTGGACACACACCCTGCATGCTAACAGATCTGCCTCACAGCATTTTCCAAGGCTACATCACTTCTTCAATCCAGACCCCACCAGAAAGCACAGCCATACACCCTCCACACTTCCACTGTTCCTTCCCTCTGCCTTGTGCCTTGTGCTGGCACAAACCTCTATGTAGACTGTGTTTTGAACCAGACCTGAAGATTGATCCCTCAGAAGATTAATTCAATGGGAGGAATGAGAAAATATTTTTCAGCTGGCTCAGCTCCCTAGTCCTGCTTATTACCCAGGTGCACAAACCTGTGTATGGAACCCAGCAAGCATCAGAATATGAACAGGATGCCCCTTCTCCAGATCAAACCTGAACAAACACAAGGTCAGGTAACCTCAGCCTTGCTGCAACTATGGGACCTGCTTCCCACCTCTGCTGTAAGAATATTGTGTCCCCCTTTTTGAATCCTTGACCACCTCCTCCAGTATTTTTTCCACTTGCGCCACAAGCTGAAGCATAGGGACCTTTTCCAAAATAAAGACTGCACTTTTCGTTCCACAGGATGCTTCAGGATGCTGGCTGAAAGCAGGGGAAAGGATGCAGTATTCAAATACACTATATCCTCAATCTCAGCAAGACTAATCCAAGCTTGTGTTTCCTGCTCTCAGCAGCAAGCAGACACAAAATTGCAGACTGGTTGAAGCACCTCAGGTCCATGTGATCCAAGCTCCTTCTCACACAGGGCTGTTTGCCCAAGACCATGTCTAGATGGGTTTTGAATATATCCAAGGATGGAAGAAGCTCCACAACATCTCTGGGCAACCTGTGACAGTATTCTGTCACCCACACATAAGTGTCTCCTGATCTTCAGATGGAACCTTTTATGTTCCCACTGGTGTCCGCTGCCTCTTGGCACTGGGCACCACTGAAAAGAGCCTGCCTCTTGTCCTGGCTTTGGTTGGGATAGAGTTAATTTTCTTCATAGAGGCTTGTATGATGCTGTGTTTTGGATTTTCAATGAAAACAGTGCTGATAACACAATGTATTCAGTTGTTGCTGAGCAGTGCTTTCACAGTCAAAGACTCTTCTATTTCTTGTGCTGCCCTGCCGGTGAGGAGGCTAGGAATGCACAAGGGTTGGGAGGGGACACAGCCAGCACAGTTGGCCCAAACTGGCCAATGCAATATTCCATACCATATGGTTTCATGATCAGCAATAAAAGCTGGGGTAAAAGAGGATGGGGAGACGGTGTGTTCAAGGCAATGGCATTTGCCTTCCCAAGAAACCGTTAACTTGATGAGCCCTTCTTTCTAGGAATTGGCTGAACACCTGCCTGACAATGGAAAGCAGCAAATGAATTCCTTGTTTTGCTTTGCTTGCACACGTGACTTTTGCTTTACCTAGTAAACTGTCTTTATCTCAACCCATGAGTTCTCGCACTTTTACCTTGCTGATTCTCTCCCCTATCCCACGTGGGGAGAGCGAGCAAGTGTCTGTGTGGTGCTGAGCTGCCTGGTGGGACTAAACCACCGTACCTCCCTTCAGGTATTTGTACACATAAATAAGATTCCCTCTGAGACTTCTCTTCCTCAGGCTGAGCAGTCAGAGGAACATGGAGAAGGCAAGTCAGGCAGAGCTAACAAGAACCACTGCAGTTTGACAATTCAAGGAGGCTACACTAACATTTGGCCATGTTGGTGAGACATTGTCAGCTCTCCATCTCAGTCATGCCTCACTAGGGCATTCGCAGTGCACCCAACAGCTCTGCTGTTTCCCCACAAAGCCCCTGGGCTAAGCAGCAATGCAGGCATGCTGAGCATCTGAAAGTATTTGATCATAAAAGCATTCTTGGATTTTTTTTTAATAAAGGAAGACAGACATCCTACTTCCTCCAAAGAGGGAATCTGAAGTTGTGCAATTACTATGTGTAGAAATGTTTATATCTGACTATATGCTCAGACCCTCTTCCTATTTTCAACTGGTTTGAACATCCTACTTCAGTACAGGTTTGAACATCTCACTTCAGTACTGACAGCTAGGACCAAAGGACCTTTACACCATCCATTCTTTAGCTGAAAACAGAAATCAATCCACAGAAAGACAATGCAGTACCACAGATTAATGGCGAAAGACATACTGCTCAGCTCGGACAGGACAAGTATCTAATCTCTCCACTTTCACGGAACAGGAACTTAGAAATAATTAATCTGCAGCAGACAGAGGAAGGATTTACATAATTTTAAATGAATAAACAAAATAAAAATAGAGGCTTCTAAAAATACAGAACTGCGGTGCTTGGGTCAAGAGGTCTTTTCACATCTCCCCTGCAGTTTTATCCCACTGTTTGTCTTCTGAGGACAATGACCTCACCAAGGGATACCTGAAGGGGATTCTCCAGCTGGACCTGGTAATCTGAAAGTAACACTACAGAGAGACTTTCCTTTTCATTTTATTATTTTTGACTGAGTTCAGTATTATTGACAGGAGAGAGACAAAAACAGATTATTTCTTTCTCCTTTCAGATCTTGGAAATCCTTTGGCTCTTTATACATCCACAAGCAAGTATTTTCATTTCTGAACCCATTATTCTATTAGAACAGTAGACTATACTACACAAAAGGCATTAGGGAAAAAAAAAATAAAAATACCCTAGGAGTCTTTGCCCTCATCACCTCACAATTTTCCCAAACTCTTCAAAGAGAATAACTACTTTCTTCTTCCTTTCCCTGGATGACACACCTCACAGACATTTATTGTTGCCTAATGCTGCAAAGCTCTTTGGGACAGAATTTAGCTAAGCAGTAGTCTTAAAAATAAATCTTAATCCTGCTGTACAGCACAGCCTCCACCCTGAACCCACAAAGAACCTGCTCAAAGGACCATTTCCAGCCATTCCTCTCCCCTGCAAAAGCAAACAATTTCCTGCTAATGTATTTAGCTTTCTTTGTAACAGTTCACATTTTAAATTAAGACAAACGTGAAGAATGCCCAGTGGTCTACGAAATGAAAAAGACTCCATGTCAAATTCTTCTCCTTTCTGAAGAGGTGGGAAGAAAGTTGTTTGAACCACATCTTTTGCAGAAATCCAAATTCTCTGGACCATTGTTCCCAACAGGTTTAAAGACAATAGCCCAATGAAATCAGAGATTTCAAAATCTTAAAATGAAAGTTTACTAAAAGCACAAACCCTGGAATGCAGGAAATTAATCAGAAAATAAAGTAATTGAAATATTGCTCAGAACGCCCTTCAGTATCATATTTTAATTCTATTAAATTCATAAAGCATAATACAGTTTAAGTTGCAATACACTGCAACCCACTTTTTCAATCAAATGTCCAGTCTGTCAAAGGTAAATTGAAATTGTGCAGGTTTTGGAGAAGTGGCCAGGATCTCTTCATGCTTGCTCAGGCAGGAACTCGAGTATGAACTCAGCAGTAGAAAAGCCCCTTTCTCATCTGTTCACTCACCACCTGAGGTTCTCTTAACATGCCAAGACAGGCTTCATTTAACTTGAGCTTTGTCTTGTGACCACCTGAACCAGACCAATCTTGTATACTGTGGTTGCCAATATGTGGCTGCAGATGCTAACGCTAGACATGAAAAATCTACCAGTTTTGTAGTTTCCCACCTGTGACCACATCCTTTGGATCTTCTTCTCATAACAGCTCATTTGGTCTTCAGTAAACTTCTATAAAATAAAGCTCTTTAAAATAAGCTCTTCTATAAAATAAACTTCCACAACATTCACGGACATCTTGTAAAGTGTTTGCCACATCTTAAATAAGCTGACAAAATACAGTAGCCTTCATCACTAGATGTTTCTTCTTATCTTCATACACTCTTCCTATTGGTCCTTTGGGGTAAAACTAAGCCCTTATTTATTTACTGGCATGTTCATACAGCACTCAACATTGATTGCTCAAGCACTCAAGCACTCAAGATTGAGCTAGATCACAGGTACTGCTGGGTTTACTTACAGATATACTAACAGGTCCAGCCCTACCCACTTTGCAACACAACTTTATCCATTACACATAACTCCAAGGGCATGCTGGTCTGATCGAAATCCTCTTGGACCTCTATCTGGAACCAAAAACCTACAGAAATCACCAATTAAATGACTTTAATGGCTGTTTTGAGAGCTCCTCCTGAGTTGTTGTCAGAACAGGGTACACTCTCCCTCCCCTCACCACAGAGCCACCACTGTATCACCACTACAGTGACATTCTCTGATCCTGTCACACACTTACCGGCTCCTGCCAGGAGTGAGGGGTATCATTCACACCTCTTCCCATCTGCTACTCCTTCACTCACCACTCCTCATCTGACTGGTAGACGTGAGCCAAAGCCTACCATGGTTCCTGGCCCTTGCCCTGAGTGCCTCCTGCACTGTTACAACTTTTTTTTTTCCCCTCCAAGCACTATACAGCCCAGTTGCCATGTGCTCTGTGTGAAGGCAGGGCTGAGCCCAAGGATGAGCCCTGCCCATCTCCTCCTTCTCATGCAAAGGCATCAAAGAGCAGGCATTAGGTGTTATTATTCTTCCTGCAAATGGAAGCACTGATCCAACACCACAATGTGAATGCTACAAAGGTAGGAAGAGCAGAAGACAGTGGAGAGGCTGGTTTGTGTTATAAATTGCCCCCTTAATTAATTTTCAGAGAGCATTGTATTAATCATAGAAAGGAATTTATTGAGTAAGCCAACAGCAAGCAAAACAGCTTTGGGCGGCCGGGGAGTCTCAGCTCCGCCAACCGTGCACACCCCACCCCCGCCAGGGTCCCTTTTTATATCTTGGTAATTCCAGGATTACACAGCACATCCTGGTATATTCTGTGACTGCACGCACTGTTGCTACGGGGTCGTCTCTCTCCTCTGGTGTCGTGAAGATGAAGGCCATAGTCTTCCTCGGCGTTGTGGTTCAACTTCTTTTTTTACTTGGTCATGTTGGCCCAGCATGAGACAGGAAGGCAGGATGTTCATACACTAGCAATTTATCAGGAGATGGTTACATGAGCTTTGCAACAGTGTCTTTGAACAAAAGAGGCAACTGAGATGCAGAAGGGGAGAAGGTTCTCTTTTTTGTTACATTAAGCAAAAGAATTTTCATAGTGTCTAGCCAAGTATTATACAGCTCCTTACTTCAGCAGGGAGCTTTCACAACTCCCGCTCCTCAAAAAGAACTCCTTGTTTTTATAACACAAAAGACAATGAACAAACATTTATGGTTGTTATATATGGAGTGGTAATTCGTGTTGAGAAAATGGTTGATATTAATAAAGAAGGGGGAGATTTGGGAATGTGGCCATGGGGGTTGGAAAACCCCGTGGTTGAGATAACATTAGACTCTTAATGACGAGGCCATCAGGAATATAATAGAGTTTAGAGGGAACAAAGAAGGGTGATTCAGGAGACTCTATGCAGTCCCTGGTTTCTTGTTCCCCAGCTGGTTCTCTTGTTCTCCAGCCATTAAGCCATGGATGTTTCTGGGTGTTTGCTGTTGTTGTTACATTCAAAGTTGTTTGACCAATGAAAAGTTGTTTTGAAAAGAACTGCTGTGGAGAGAAGGGTATAAGAGGGGAGCCTGCCCTCAAGATAAAAAAGGCAACACGATGAAGTTACATCAGTAAAGAAGCAGGAAAAAGAAGTGAAGAGGAACAGGCTGGCAGAATGGAGACCAGGACAGGAGCAGGCATATTGATTGCCTCATGAAGACAGGTTTGGCCAGACTCAGCAAACTGCTCAGAGAAGCTCGCACAGAAAGTCACTGGAAACAGGCACACTGGAGCTGGAGAGAAGCTCGAGCTGAGAGAAGTGGACCCGTGCACACAACTGCTTCTCGCTGGTAAGCAGTTGCACATTATGGGGACTCACACAGGAACAAAGAGTGTCCTGGTAACCTTACAGCTCATTCTCCTTATTAACAATTGGACAGTTTATGAGCCTGAAATATGGGACCAAACTGAGGTCAAGGTGTGGGACTCTGCAACTAAAAATGACAAGGTTGCAGTGGGATTGCTCGGCACCTGGCGAGCAGTCTCTGAGGCCTTGAAGAGCCATGTGGGACCACAATCACAAACGTGGTTTGTCAGGTAGTGAGGGAGCTGTGGGCTCCTGTACTGATCTGACTGCTACGCCACGGGCCCCTCTGCTGCTACAGCCATCGAAGGCTTTTGCTGTTACACCCCCTGTTGACCTGAATGTGCCTTTTGACCCAGGCCCAGTGGCCTTGAAAAGGAGATGGATCTGCTTTTCTTCAATCTGGGAGGAACGGGATACAGAAGGCCTGAAGACCGAGTTGCTTGACAACTTAAAGCAAGACATATTGTTCAAAGGGAATGGAAAATGGAGACTTGTTAGTAATCAAGAAAAGGAATGGAAAATGGGAGACTGTTAAGCCATGGAACTTAAAGGATTGTTTGTTACCTATCCTGATTGTACGTATGTATAGGCGTACTCGAGTTTAGTATGTAAAGCAATGTTCTGTATATTTAGAATGTTTGATGTTTGTGTGTGCATGTTGGTGGAGCGTAGACTACCCGCACACCCAGCGCTGTTTACTTGCCTTTTATACCTTTTATAGCTTTTATACCTTTTATAAGTATTTGTTTTATAAATATTACAAAATTCAGATTGAGTTGAGACCTCATTTATATCAGGGTCTGATTTTAGTGTGGTCCTATGTGGAAGTGGGACTTGAACTGAATGATTCTTGTGGGTCCTTTCCAAAAGCAAGATACTCTGCAATTCTAGTATGTAGAAGTGGGAGACCTTCAGTGAGCAAGCCGAGTAACATTCCCTCCCTCCCTCCCTCCCTCTCTTCCCTATATATTTTTCCAAGTCTAAAGGTTTCTCGTGTCTTACCTCATTTGATGGTTGCTTTCCCATGGGATCAAATTTCACAGAATCACAGAATTTCTAGGTTGGAAGAGACCTCAAGATCATCGAGTCCAACCTCTGACCTAACACTAACAGTCCCCACTAAACCATATCCCTAAGCTCTACATCTAAACGTCTTTTGAAGACTTCCAGGGATGGTGACTCCACCACCTCCCTGGGCAGCCCGTTCCAGTGCCTAACAACCCTTTCAGTAAAGAAATTCTTCCTAACATCTAACCTAAAACTCCCCTGGCGCAACTTTAGCTCATTCCCCCTGGTCCTGTCACCAGGCACGTGGGAGAACAGACCAACCCCCACCTCGCTACAGCCTCCTTTAATGTACTTATACAGAGCAATAAGGTCACCCCTGAGCCTCCTCTTCTCCAAGCTGAACAGGCCCAGCTCCTTCAGCCGCTCCTCATAGGACTTGCTCTCCAGGCCCCTCACCAGCTTCGTCGCCCTTCTTTGGACCCGCTCAAGCACCTCGATGTCCTTCTTGTAGCGAGGGGCCCAAAACTGAACACAGTACTCGAGGTGCGGCCTCACCAGAGCCGAGTACAGGGGGACGATCACCTCCCTAGCCCTGCTGGTCACAGTGTTTCTGATACAAGCCAGGATGCCGTTGGCCTTCTTGGCCACCTGAGCACACTGCTGGCTCATATTCAGCCGACTGTCCACCATCACTCCCAGGTCCTTCTCTGCCTGGCAGCTCTCCAACCATTCCTCTCCCAGCCTGTAGTTCTGCTTGGGGTTATTGCGTCCCAGGTGCAGGACCCGGCACTTGGCCTTGTTGAACTTCATACAGTTGACCTCAGCCCATCGGTGCAGCCTATCCAGATCCTCCTGCAGAGCCTTCCTACCCTCGAGCAGATCGACACACGCACCTAGCTTGGTGTCATCTGCAAACTTACTGAGGGAGCACTCAATGCCGTCATCCAGATCATTGATGAATATGTTAAAGAGTACCGGCCCCAGCACCGAGCCCTGGGGAACACCACTAGTGACTGGCCTCCAACTGGACTTGGCTCCATTTACCACAACTCTTTGGACCCGGCCATCCAGCCAGTTTCTAACCCAATGAAGCGTGCGCCAGTCCAAGCCAAGAGCAGCCAGTTTCTTGAGGAGAATGCTGTGGGAGACGGTGTCAAAAGCCTTGCTGAAGTCAAGGTAGACCACATCCACAGCCTTTCCCTCATCCACCCAGAGCGTCACTTTGTCGTAGAAGGAGATCAGGTTCGTCAAGCAGGACCTGCCTTCCATAAACCCATGCTGGCTGGGCCTGATCGCCTGCTTGCCCTTCAAGTGCCGCATGATGACTCCCAAGAGGATCTGCTCCATGAGCTTCCCTGGTACTGAGGTCAAACTGACCGGCCTGTAGTTCCCCGGGTCTGCCCTCCGGCCCTTCTTGTAGATGGGCGTCACATTTGCTAGTCGCCAGTCAGCTGGGACCTCCCCCGATAGCCAGGACTGCTGATAAATGATTGATAGGGGCTTGGCCAGCTCCTCTGCCAGTTCTCTCAGTACCCTTGGGTGGATCCCATCCGGCCCCATCGATTTGTGCACATCCAAGTGCCGTAGCAGGTCACCAACCAGTTCTTCGTGGATGGTGAGGGCCACATCCTGCTCCCCGTCCCCTTCCACCAGTTCTGGGTACTGGGTATCCAGAGAGCAACCAGTTTTGCCGCTAAAGACTGAGGTAAAGAAGGCATTGAGCACCTCCGCCTTTTCCTCATCTCTTGTAACTAAGTTTCCCCCTGCATCCAGTAAAGGATGGAGATTCTCCCTAATCCTCCTTTTTGTGTTGATGTATTTATAAAAGCGTTTTTTGTTATCTTTAACAGCAGTAGCCAGATTGAGCTCCAGATGAGCTTTGGCCTTCCTAATCTTGTCCCTGCACAGCCTCGCTACATCCTTATAGTCCTCCTTGGTGGCCTGCCCAATTTTCCAAAGATTATAAACCCTCTTTTTTCTCCTAAGCTCAAGCCACAATTCTCTGTTGAGCCAGGCTGGTCTTCTTCCCCGCTGGCTCATCTTTGGGCGCATGGGAATAGACCGCTCCTGCGCCATTAGGATTTGCCTCTTAAAGAGCGCCCAGCCTTTCTGGACCCCTCTGCCCTTCAGAACCGCCTCCCATGGGACTCCACCAACTAGTGTCCTGAGCAGCCCAAAGTCAGCCCTCCGAAAGTCCAATACAGTGGTTTTACTGGTTCCCTTCCTGGCCCCGCCAAGAATAGTGAACTCCACCATTTCGTGGTCACTCTGCCCAAGACTGTTCCCGACAATCACATCCTCCACCAGTCCTTCTCTGTTTGTGAAGAGAAGGTCTAGCAGGGCACCACCCCTGGTAGGTTCACTAATCAGCTGCGTCAGGAAGCTATCTTCCACGCTCTCCAGAAACCTCCTAGACTGCTTCCTCTGGGCTGTGTTGTGCTTCCAGGATATGTCAGGGAAGTTGAAGTCCCCCACGAGTACAAGCGCAGACGATTTTGCAGCTTCTGTCAGCTGCCTGTAGAACTCAAGTTTGCACTGTCCCCCAATGACAAAGAGGAAGTCACTGATGATGGCTACACAGTGATTGTACAACGGCACACGGAGGTCCCCAACCTTGTACCATGTGCTGCAGCTCTTGTCGGCAGCCCACATCTCTCTGCAAATGCAGTTGTCAATGGTTCTGCCACCAGCAATAAGCAGCGTGGTGGAACTGGAGCGGAGGCTTGTGCATTGGGTCTGCAGGAGTGGCTGAGCATATAGCAGGGATTGGTAAGTCAGAGCCTCCTGAAGGTGTCTGTGGCAGCCTGAATCTAGCTTCATAAAAGGTATTTCCTGAACAAATTCCTGCAGATCCTGTAAAGGAATGAGAGGGAATCTTATGCGCCTTAAAATGTCTGCTGCATCTTCCAGCCGTGTGCGGTCATGCTGCAGCCAGTTCACAGCAGCTCTGAACAGTTCCAGCTCACTGCACCCCTCTGTGTTGGTCCTGTCTAAGATTTCACAAAGGGTTTGTGTGTGCATGTTGGTGGAGCGTAGACTCCCCGCACACCCAGCACTGTTTACTTGCCTTTTATACCTTTTAGAAATATTTGTTTTATAAATATTACAAAATTCAGATTGAGTTGAGACCTCATTTATAACATGGTGTATTACAGTTTGGAGACTCCTCACCCCCTGCACAACAGCATTCCCCAGATCTGCAGGGGTGGAGTGGTGGCCTAGCACCAGCACAGAGCCATACTGAATTTCACTTTCCTCATCCTCATTGCACAAGCTGGGCTTCCAACACTGAAGCAGGAGGCCCAGAGAGCAGCTGGCACAGACAGCCTGCCTGCTGCCCACGATGCCCCACATGCTCCCAGCAAGGAGCTTGCTGCACGGTCAATGGCAGGCACAGCAATCCCACCAGCTGCTCTCATCACCAAGCATCACCACGAACGCCTTACCACCCCTGCCCTAGCACACTCTCCCTGCGCCCTGCTGATGCTCAGCTCCATCCTGCCGCCAGCTGCACGGGGCCCAGCGGGCTCGGGGTCCGCGCTGCCTGCATAAGACCCCAGCAGGGCCCAGCTGCGCGCAAAAGCAGCAGCTGACGGAACGCCCCCAAACACGGCGGTGCCTCGGTAGATATGGCGGCCGTGTGGTCACGTGAGGGGGCGTTATCACGGGACACCGCGGGCCGCGGGATTCTTTGCCCAGCGCCGGCGGTCGGGTCGGTGCTCGCGGAGCGGAGGCGCGAGCGGGAGGTTGCCATGGGAACGCACCCACCGCTGCTGCTGCTCTTCTGCCTCTTCCCGCTGCTGCTGCCGGCCCACAGCGCGCCCGGTGGGTGCCCGAGGCGGGCCCTTGCTCCGCTTCCTTGCGCCCCGTGCTGTGCTGCGAGCCCGCCCGGGTCCGTCCCCTCCGGGCGAGAGCCCCCAGTCGGCCCGGGCCTCACCGGCTGGGCGCTCTGGGCTCCCCTGCCCCAGACGGATACGGACAGGCCGGCACCCTCCCGCCAGCCGGGCTGGGCCGGGCCGGGTCTGGCCACGCCGCGCCGCGGTGGCGGCCAGGGGGTGGCGGCCGTCGTCGGTCAGCCCTGCACTGATGGTCCTTTCCTCCAGCTGCCCGGCCAGTGGGGCCTGGCCTGGAGGAGCGGTTCTTCCAGCAGGTGCGGGACCACTTCAGCTTCGAGACCTGTAGCAACGGGACCTTCCCGCAGCGGTACCTGGTCTCAGGTGGGTCCTGGGCCCCGGGGGTGCACTGCGGCCTGTGGCAGCAATCGAGCTTTCCAAAGGCTTGCCACTCGTGCACAGGGACAGAGCCTCTCAGAGAGCTGTGCTGATCTGCCAGGAGTAGGCCTGATCCGAGCACCAGCCCATAACGACCCACTTTGCTTAGCCTCTCCTCTCGTCCCCTTCAGTTCCTCATTCTGGTAATGAGATGTGTGGTGCAGATGTGGAGATTGGCCTCTTAGCAATGTGAGCAGGTAAGAAAAAATGGCAGTGGTAGGTTTGAACTGGGCTTGCCCTGTGCATGTGTATTTTCAGTTAGACACAGTATCTTCTTACAAGTGCAACTTCAGTGCATCAGGAAAAACAGTGACCCAAATGTTGCAGTCAGTACTGGTGATTCTTACACCTGAAGACAACTCCAAGAAAGATGTCTCCTGGGCCTGTGTTTCACATTATTGACAACCCAACAGCTTTAGATAGCTTAAGGCATGCTGAACAAAGAGTACAAGGAGCCTGCAGTGTCTGTCTTTCTAGCTAAATAATGAGTTATCTTCTGAGTGACAAGAAGTGCGAGAGAGGAGGCTTTTCCAAGCAATGTGCTTTCATTTTCATCATAATTTCAATAACTAGTGTCAGATGTTTTTGAGTACTGTGTGCTTGGAGTTATCAGGGAGATTTGCAGTGAGACAGCAAGTGTGGCGCTGCAATTAGCATCAGCCCAGAGTGCTACCTACCTCTGGGTAGCGCTGCCCAGTCCTAGCGCTCACACACTGTCATCTGAGGCCTACAGGCCTGTGCCTGGAGCCTGTTAGACACATTATTGCCTTCTCATTATCTGTTACTCTGCAGCTTGTTCATCACTGTCATCTTGTTATATGTATTATACCAAGCATGAGCTCAGGGATCACTTTGGCACAAAGATCAGAACATTAGTGAATTTTGATGGCATACCCAGGACTGAAATTTCACAAATAAAATGACCGCTTTTCAGCAGAACTTAGGGATCACCTGGTCTAAAGCATTGCAAAAGTTGATTTTTAAGGTGTTATGTTTTATCTGCATGACTTGCCAGGGCAAAGTCTGTAAATTTAGAGCTAAATTTATCTGTGAGAAACAAAACATGTTGAGTAGTTTCTTTTCCCTCTTTCTGCTTCTTGTGCAATACAAGTCTTTGGATTATCAGTGAGAAATTCAAGGAGACTATTTCACAACCAGGCATCTGACTGTCTTGAGGTTAGCTGGCAGTTGCCCCAGGATTTAAATCTGTAAATAGATATGTTTAAGCAACCTGTCTGTGTTTTTGGCTCTTGTGCACAGCTGTTTGCTACAGAAGCCATGAAGCATATGAGAAGAAATGCCAGAGTAAATAGAGCACTTCAGTGTCCTACCTGATACCCAAAACAGATGCAACACAAAAAGAATCAGCCTTTTTGTTAACAAAGATGAAGAATTTCACTAATGACGTATTTCAGGCCTGTTTCCAAGCCAATACTTGCTCTGGCAGGTCTGCATTGAGAATATTTGTTAACAGTAACAGCCTTGCCTGACATGCTGCAGTTGCATCCATAGCATGACCTCTGTTGGAGGTTCCCTTTAGGTGATAAATGTAATGCTTAACTGACAGTCTGAAGTCTTGTTGAAGAAAGCTATTTATTCTCCCCCCCACCCCCCTTGACTCCTGTACAATTTAAGAGTAAGCTAAAATCAAACGTTTGACAAAGTCAGCACTAAAGCAGCCATGTGTTACACAAGCAAGTATTGGCATCATCAGTCAGCTTCTCCTGGTAGTCTCAATTTGCCATCAGTTATAGACAGATCAGAAGATAAAACAAATGTTATTTACAGCTTGGCTCTGGGTTGTACATCACAATAAAAGCAGTAGAAAGAGGCAGGCAATTCCTCAATGTTCATTTTGTAGGAAAAGTAATCTGTACGAGTGTTTTGGGACAATTTGGGTTGAAATGGGTATATAAATGGGAAATCACTCTTTTGGGGGCAGCTGTTTGCAAATTCCTTGTAGATCTGAGATTTTCAGGAGTTTTAGGCAGAAGTAAAAGTTCCAGGCCATATAGTGATCTCATGGAAGCTCTTACTGAACCCTGCTCAAATGACAGATTTCTGTAGCCTGGCCTTTCTATCATCTATATTCCCCAACACAGGTCTCAGGGATCAGCCTGTTCAAATAGTTCTTCCTCATTAAGCTCCTGTCCAAAGTCACCAAAACCAGACATTTCATGCTCTGACAGTTTTGTTTGTTTTTGTTTTATGTCTTCTGTCAATTACCTCACTCAGTAAAGTTCTGGAACAAAGGATTTGGACCAGTCTTTCTCTATACTGGCAATGAAGGTGATATCTGGACTTTTGCTCAGAACTCCGACTTCATATTTGAATTAGCAGAGGAACAGGAAGCACTTGTGATATTTGCTGAGCATGTGAGTATTTTAGTCATTATGCATATTATAGAGTTGTGTTAGTATTACCAAATTCATCTTTCTCCAGGTCCAGAAAAATAATATCTCTTGCCACAAAGCAGAGGTAGACCTGCTGCAGGCTTTCTTGTCATAGTAGTAGCTCTTCATTATTTAACCACAGCCTCTGATATTTTTTTTATTATGCCTACCACCAATCCAGGATAGAGACTACTGTTTCAGTAAAACTTATCCTATGGCATATTTGATTTAGATCAGTGCTGTTGTAAATAGTTTATACTGATCTTGAACTCCACACTGGACTGGAGAGTTCTTTTGTTAAGGTAATGTTTTCCTTTCTAGCCTCTGAAGTCCCAAACCATCCTGTTCCTAGGTACACCACCCTAACAAATCTATTATTCTCCAACCTATGCATGAAGAGATTATACACTGTTCCCTTTTCTAGTTGGGGATTTCATGAGAGAGACATGTCAAGGCTCTACTTGGCACCCACTGAAGTAGCTTGTCCTGAACTTTCCCATCCTTTATGGGACATATCCTGAAGGTCTCTATTTATCTGATATAAGCAGATTCTGGAGAATCTGAACATTTGCTCAGTTAAGAACAAGTTAAGGGGATGGTGTGTGCTCTGTTATCACTTCCCATTTGTGCACACTTGTCCCATTCCTATCATGAAGAACAGGGAAGGCCCAGGCTTTGACACCAACATTTTTGCAGCATATCTCCTTGCTTTCAGAGGTACTATGGCAAGTCTCTTCCATTTGGACATGACTCAATACAGCTGAAGAGGACTGGTCTGCTTACTGTGGAACAAGCCCTTGCTGACTACGCAGTGCTAATTACTGAGCTTAAGCAGCAGTATGGTGCTGCAGACTGCCCTGTCATTGCTTTTGGAGGCAGGTAAAGGTTGTGTGTGGTTCTTCCCTTCTCTGCATCCTTTCCTAGACACAGTTGTGGTGTTCTTATAGTTCCATTTAGCTCTCCAGCAAGCTTTAGAGGCAAAGCTCTAAGCTATTCTATAGACAGCATACGTGCCTGAGCTCCTTGAGAGCTTATCTCCAGGACCCAGGCAGCTCTCCCATTAAGAATTAGTCTTGACTTGTGGTTGCCTTTGGGAATGTTTGTTTTGGAGACTGGATGTATCTAGACATCTTTAATGTACAAGTCAGCCAGAACTGCGGAAGATAAGTTCCTCCTGCAGAATCACATGATTTTACATGAAAAATGCTGAAAATCAATAATTGGTAAAATATTCTTTCTTGAGGCCCTCCAGCTTTTTATTAAACACAGCCTCCTTATCAGTATCTAGCCATTTTCATTGTAGGATCTTTTATAATTCTGCTCTGTAATCTGCTGCTTGTTTAGTCCTGGCTTCCAACAGACATCCTTCCTCAAAATGCTTGCTCAGCTGCACTTCAGAGCTGTGTTGATATCATGTCCCTGTCTCTTGAATGGCTTTCTACAGTCAGTCAGAGAGGTGCTTCTCTTTAAAAGGTTTCCAATGAGTACAGGGCTTCTCAGACATTGCAGTGAGCTAAAAAGCATTTGATCAGGTGATTATCATTACACTGCAGCTCACTGTAGTGCTGACTGGGTTGTTGATCACAGTGGTGTTTGTACCATGTCTACCAGGACAGTAGCTAGTGTAAAAAGGGCCAGGACAGTCCTGGGGTGGGGAGGTGGGATTCAGTGAGACCTGCTAACTATTAGACTACAGCTGTTTGTTTGTAAATCGGAGTTAAACATGCAGCAGCTCTAAACAGCACTAAACCTATCTGAAGAATACTGAAATATAGCAGTACTGGAGCAACATGTTTCTTGGGGGGGGGGGGGGGGGGGAGGGAAGAGGGGGCAAGGGGGAGGGGGGAACAACAACCTTAAGTTGCTTACAGTTTTGCCAAGCTATCCAGTAGAACTGAATTTTCTTGTGTCAATTTCTTTTTTCTGTTTCCAAGACCAGAGTTAGAGAAAAGTATATGGCTTTACATGTGGGTGATGTGGGACCTGAATACTTCTGAGCTGTGAGTGAAGAGGTTGGAGTCAGACAAGGTGTAGTTATCTCTGTGTTAGGGTTGTCATTTATCAGCCCAAGGAATGACCTCAGAGTAACTCAAAAAAATTTGCATCTGAATAACTTTTGTGGCATTGGGTTTATCTAGCAATCCCAGATATATCTGCAGAACTGTGGCCCTGTCACTGAAGCTGTCAAGTCAGCTTTGAGTTTTGATGTGGTATTTGTTAATGTCTCCCATTCCCTAGGCCTTTGCTGATAATTCATGAAGCTGTCATTTGGGTTGCCCAAGATGACTGCGTCCCACTTCCCAGCAGTAGAGGGAGCTGAATATTCTGTAGTGTCCAGGGACACCCTTTGCTTGTTAGCTCTTTAGACAGTCTTTATAATCCTATATGCAAAATGTTGTCTCCTTCACCCATTAGGTAATGACAGCTTGACTTGAGCCCCAGTTGGTTCTGCACTGAAATCATCAAGACATGGTCAGGATGGGGCAGAGTTAGATAAAGGCAGCATTTTTATTTGTCTGCAGAATCCAATTGGGCTAGTGTATTCCCATAAGAGTTGACTTCAGGGTCTGGGGAAAAGTCAGTAGAACGTGCTGTGTACAGCTCATTAACTATAACTCGGTATTTTTACATAAGGATGACACCTAGATTTGCATAAACATTTTGTTGTTTTGAGTTCAGTGAGCTTGTGCCTGCTGGCCTGAACTTTCAAGTTAGTATGTTATAATCTGTCTGTTAAAGGAAATAACTCTTCTCTGTCCTGTGCCAGCTATGGAGGAATGCTGAGCGCTTACATGAGGATGAAGTACCCGAACATTGTAGCTGGAGCATTAGCTGCTAGTGCTCCTCTGTTGTCTGTGGCTGGGCTTGGAGACCCCACTCAGTTCTTCAGAGATGTAACAGCAGTAAGTAGTAGCTCTTTGCAAGAACATTTTTCTTCTTTCTTTAAGAAGGCAGGATTTTTTTTCTTTTCCATGTCTTTAAACAGACAGCTATTTTTGCAGCATCATTGCTAGACAGATCTGCAAGGAAAAGCAGCAGCTGCAAATAGTCTTGAGTGTTGCTGTGGCCGGGGCAGCTCAGGGCTCAAAGATGCTGCTCTTGTAAGCAACACAAAACAGTTCCATGATGTTTAGTACCACTAAGAATTCACTTTTCCATTTCTAGTGAGTTGTACAAATTACAGGCTGAAAGTTTTCTTTTATACCTGGCTGAAAAAAAATGGATAATTAATTGTTCAAATCCTCTTTCAAAATGTTTTTGCATTGATATTTATGATTCACTGTAGATCCTTAGTCTCAAAATGGTTGTATTTCAATGAAGAACTTGAATATTTCACTAAATAAAAACGTGCATGGTGTCCTGGATTCACTGAAAACCAAAATTTAAATGTGGCTTTCACATCCTAAGAACATCAGAATAAATGAAAGTATCTGTGGGAGTATTGTTGAGAACTGACTTGCATTTAGTTTACATGGAAAGAAATGTACTAGCTGGTAGTACTGAAAGCTTGTGATGGTGGCTGTTTTGCCTCTTTAGTATGATTTTTTAGATCTGGGTGACACATGTGGCTTTGTGTGAACTACCTGTGTATGATGTGGTCCTTTTGCTCTTGTTACATGTATATAAAACCTTATTTTAATGCAGAGACTTACAGCGCAGACAGTATTACTGGTAAGCATAAAGAAGACTGTTGTGAAAATAAACTCAATAGCATTTGAAACTTTAAGTATATAAGTGAACAAAAGACATCTTGTCTTAAAATTATACATTTTGAATATATGGTATCACTCAATAGTCTAACATGCTCAATACTGGGAATTCTTCTCTGGATGAAGTGAATTCCTTCTCAGAACCCCTGTTCAGATGATAGCTCTGACTTGTTTCAGTTGTGAATGTGCTGTGAGTCATTACACACCCCTGAAAACAGGGCTTTGACCTTTTCATGTGAGGGGAAAAAAAAAAAAAAAAAGAAAAAAAAAACTAACTCAGATACTAAGCAAGCACTTTGAGTTGTTTTCAAAGTAATTCCTTCCACCTTCAGCATGTCTGCATAACAGCAACCCTGTGCATCTGAAGGCTGAACTCAGCTGCCCTGCTCAGTAAACAAATGTCTCTGAGAGCTGTTAATACTAATCAAGGCACAAACCTTCTGTGAATCATTGTGGGAGCTCTCTCTTCAGCTTTCTGCTTCTGAGTCAGAGTATGTTCTCTCAAAGCAGCTTTCTCTATTACTTTTAATGAGCATTTCTGGCACATTTCATGAGCCTACAGCTCACAGGGGAAGTGAGCAAAGGTCAGAAAGTTTATTCTGTGTATGGTATTTGCATAAGACTAGGTTTATATGTACACTAACTGCCATCCCTGCAGCCAGACAGAAAGCCCTAGTGTGAAGAATACATGCACAGCAACACACATGCTTCCTGTAAGTTTACTGCTGCAGGGGCTGGCCAAGCTATCAACTTCAGATTGGTTTAGACTTCTGAATTAGGTATAATTCAAAAAAGTAAAGCTGGCAGCCTGAAAGCTTTGATTGCCAAGTTGGAACAGCTTTTCTTGGAATGTCTGTAATGCCTCCTGCCTCTGCAACAGCTCAGCTGACTTGTTTCTATGTCCATAACGGTCTACTGGGGAAAAGCGAAAGCGGCAGTGGTTCCTTATGTGTCAGGCAGCACACTGCAGCAGTTCGGCATTAGCCTCTCAGGGACCTCAGTGGTCACTGCAGCCAGAACAGACTTACTCTTCCATCCTAGACTGACTAATCTGCATGCTACAGTCTAGAGCCATTAGTTGACAATAAGCACACACAGAAGGAGATTTAAACCATGGAAAATCCCAAAGTGATTTCTTGAACTTTCAGACAAAAAGGCACAGAGAGGAGTCAAAGGAATATCCCATATCTGTTTCTAGTTGAGGCTGTGTCTTTGTAAGAAAAACGCTTAGCTAGTGGTTCTCACATGATGAAGAGACCTTAAAAGAGCCCTACTACTTACTATTACAAAGTACTGGTTGTGGGCAGATCTCAAACTGCCTTACAAGCTGACAGAAGAGAAACAGTTTAGGTTGCTAGAGCCTTCAGTGGCAGAAACAACTTGTTCCAATAGCATAACCAGCCACAGCTCTTCAAGCATACTTTACAGTGCTTTTTCAAGAGGATCAGTAGTGCTTTTCCTGAGAAAAGAAGACTTGGCCTTCTTGGTCATCTGGTAGGTCACTGGCAGGCTTAAGAAGAAAAGCAGGTCTTGGTTTCGCAATCCAGTGCACAGCCCTGTGTGGCTCCTTCTTACAGACAAAGTACAGTAGGAGGCCTCTACTATATGTTTTAAAAATAAAAAACAGCTCTTGGCCCTAATAGTCTGGTACCTGTTCCCATGTCCTGGTCAAGGCACATGTCTACTCTCATTGTTTCATGTTCAGTCTAATGGCTCCACAAAGTGCTAATTTTTTTGTCGAAAGGCTAGTCCCAGTAGTGACCTGGTGAAACAATTACTGCTTGGTCTGAGCTGTGCAGGCTGTTAGTTTGTGGTGGCACATTCTGATTGTCTGGAGCTTAAAGCAGAAGCACAACCGTCATTGCTTCTGGAGATGCAGATGCGATTCTGGCCATAGTGGGCAAGTAACTTCTGTCATCTCCTGGTACTTCTGGCAGCTTCCCTGTGCAGCATAATTTCTTCTCGGAACCCCTGTTCAGTTGATAGCTCTGAGTTTGTTTCAGTTGTGAATGTGCTGTGAGTTGTGAATGTGCTCTGCATATATCTCCTCTGTACAACTGTAATCCTGTTGTTTTCTGTCCTTTCAGGACTTCCAGAAGTCTGGACCAGACTGTGTCACAGCTGTACGCAAAGCCTTCCATCAGATTAAGAATCTGTGCCTGAGTGGAGGTAAGAACAAATGGCCCCACAGACTGTTTCCCAGGGGTAGGTAGACTCTGGGATGGGGGCAAAAAGTTGACTCTGTCAGGTTTTTGGTTAGGCCTTAACTGGGTTCCAGCTAAATCAATGCAAATGTCTGCCTGACCTTCCTGCTTGCATGATTGATTTTTGATTTCACAAACAGTTTCAATCAGTATTATAATTAGTAATGGACACTAAAATGCAAATATCTATATGGAGGATTGCACTGTGTTAATTAAACAGTCTTTTCTGCAGGAAAAAAAAAAAAAAGAGTGTTCAAAAACACCTTGTATTTGATGCTGGTAATATCTGTGCTTGGATATCTGTTCTCCTGCACAAGAGCCTGATTGATGAGACCGTCCTGCTTGGCTCTGAAGGGCACAGCAGGTGGGAGGCAGCAGAGCCTGAGGGAGCAAGGGGGACGTTGCCACACAGGGTGCTGGGGAGGACAGCCTTGTACTTACTGCTCTTTTCACTGCATCAGCCTCAACTGTTCTGTCTCAGAGGGTGCTGCTTCCACCGATGTTCCCCAGGACGGTTTCTGTGTCTCATGAGGGGGAGATGCAGGCTTCAAGCCAGTGAAGCCACACAGGAAGGCTTTGCCTGAACATCTGTGTTTGTGTAAATTTAGATGTAACATATCCTTCCTGCTGGAAACCTCAACTATGTGTTACATATCTCATTATCCTTGAGTGAAACAAGATGCTGCAGCCTGGTATTGGTTTACTCTGTTAAAGTTCATGCCTTTCATTTGCTTTTATTCTGTAGCTTATGATGAAATCAGCAGGAAAATGGCTACATGCAATAAGATTTCTAACAAGGAGGATGTTTACCAGCTTTTTGGTTTTGCTAGAAATGCCTTCACCATGATGGCCATGATGGACTACCCTTACAAAACTGATTTCATGGGTCACCTCCCTGCTAATCCAGTGAAGGTGAGTACCAGGACACAGGTGAGAATTACACTTTCTGAAGGGAGGGACATACACCTCGATGACCTGAGTACAGGGCTGCACAGCATGGGGTGCAGTCAGGTACACATCACCGGGTGGTGGTGACAGGGAGAGGTAGTGGTGGGTTATAGCACTTCCACTGTGATGATAAATCTACATGTTTTAAGCCCCTCTGAGATGGTGGCTGTTGTGTTTGAAATGCATTGCTATTAGGAGTGTCAGGGAGGGCTTGCTGGAGCCATACCTGCCATTCTCTGTGTTTACTTTAGACAACATGGCCTGTGCAAGCTTGTTGACTTCAGTTTTTGATTGCTAAAATATACAGCATTTCAAAAAATGTAGTTTTGTGGTAGCCTGCCTTGAAACACTTTCATAGACATATTTTTCTTGGTGGGTAGGTTGGAGTTCTAAAAATCGGGTTCCTTTTTAAAGTATCATCTGGCAAAATGCTACACCTCAGAGTACAATGAGGAGAAATGCCTGCTGCTATGGAGACTAGAAAACCCAAAAACTTTTAAGAGTAGGAGATGGCCAAGTGTGGGAAAAGAGCCTGGTTCTCAGAGGGTTACAAACACTTCTTAGACAGCAACTGGGGCCTGAAAAAGGTCCCAGATCACCTGTCGCTATTGCAGCTCTTGACTTCTGCTTTGCTGTCAGCCTTGTGCTTCTGTTCTCTGCTGCACTCCTGTACACCAGGCTTATGGAACTGTACATCCTTCTGGCCTTGTGGCTAAGACAGCAGCTGACATTTGTGGTGTAAATCCTACCTGGAGCAAAATGCACACTGTGCAAGAGGTGCTACAGGCCATGTATTACAGGGATCCAGGAGTTGCTGTCTCTGGCTCCACTGGCCATCCAGCTCCCTTCTAGGTTCTGTTTAATGATCTGTAAAATGGAAATATTATTCTAACCTCCTTTGAGAAGGGCATTAAAATATTCTGATTGCAGGAGGAAGAACTGTTCCTTGTAAGTGTCCTCCACATAGCTGTGGATGCTTACCTTGGAAAAGAAACAGGCTGTCTTAGTTCTTTCTCACTGTTTGTATGTATTTTGTTGCTAGAGAGAGGAAAAAACACCAAAAAGATGTTGCAATCAAATATGCAAGTGATACTTTAGACAAATCTTCCTGTTTATCCCTTCTGTGGCATAGACTGTTACCTGTCATGCCTGCAATTTGCCTGTAATGTGTCTCATCCAGGTTGGCTGTGAACAAATTCTTGCCCAGACAGACCCAATTCAAGGCCTGGCAGCTCTTGTTGGTGAGTTAATCTTATCAGATTGGTCTTTCATTTAAAATCCTATTTTCTAGAAGCACCTGTGTGGTGGTTTTACCCCCAGTACAACCTGTAAGTAGAGCTGTCTTATCATTATGTGGTTTATGTATTGTGGGAGCTGGTACAACTCTGATTTTCCAGTGGGATGGTTTGTGCTGTATTGGTTTCATCCATTGGAATGCATGATGGCAGGTTCATTCTCTCACCTTTTCAAACTTATCCTTGTAAAATTTTTCAGCCATTGTGGCCCTTGCTGCAAAAATATTGCATGCTGTTGACTTTCGATGAAATGTGACTTCTAAGGTACTTGGTTCTTTTCTAAATGTTTACCCATACTCTGGCTCAAGCAGTCACAGATTCAGTGCATGTTCACTGAAGGAAGTTCTCTGGTCTGCTAGTTGAGGACAAGGTTGCCATCATAATGCCCTACAATCTTAACTGAGTGTCAAGACAATTGTGAATGCATGGTATATGCTTATCTCTGTGAGTACATAAATTGTCAGCCAGCAATATAAAGTGTCAATTCTAAATCACAGCTGAAAATGTTTGGCTAGAGAACTAGAAGTGTTGCTAAAGCACTAACCTCTTGGCAAACACTGTCAGATCAGCTCGACCTATTCACATCCTACTTCTCTTCAGAGGAAGAGTGGGACTTTTTTTTCTTTGTGATGAACAAGCTGGGAGTACATTTCTCCCTCCTGCTGGTGAGGGAGCACTTTGTGCCTCTCCCTGGCTCACCAGTTGCATTCACTTGGGACAACTTAATCATGCAAGAGGCATGATCAACCAGAGCTTTAGGCAGGGAACCGGCTTTCTTCCATACCTGCCCCTCTATGTCATACATGAAAACACTGTCTTCTTTTTGCATGTCGTGTAGTGACCCACCTCCTGTGAGGTAGAGCATAGACTCACAGGCTGTGATACTGAATTGGCAGCCGCTGAATGGGGATAGTGTCAGCGTTGTCCACTGATCATTTACAGGACAATAGTACTCTGTTGCATCAATGTGAATCCATTCCTCCACCTGCAAAGAACCAGACCAACACTGATCCATCATATTACACCTCAAGCAGGTATCAATGTCACATCAGGCTTGTTTGGCTCATGGTAGAGGAAATCTTGACATGTGTTTGAATATAGCGGAGCTCAAGGTGCCACATCTTCAGTCTTAATTTAGAAATCAAAGCATTAAAAGAAGCTGAATAAAATAAAATAATGCCATTCAAGAACTGCTTTAAAATATGCTTGTTCTTGGAAAATGGGAGGAATGAGCCACAGGAACATACTGGAATTGGTTTAGCCTAAGTCCTTCCTGGTCTACGTAGACTTAACACATTATGGAGGACCTCATGGGAAGAGAGCTACAGTGCACTGAATTCTAGATGATAACTGAGTTTGTGTCATCTGGAGGAATTTGATGTCAGATCTGATGTGCAGTTTCTCTTTACAGATTTCTATCACTTCCTCAGTAAGCAATTAAGTACTCAAAGGCACATTCATTCCTTTGAAAGAAACAGCACTGGCCATGCCAAAATTGGGCATGGGATCCTGAATCTTTGCTTTCAAATAGGAATTGCTGAATGATCTTTGAATGATTTGAATGATCCATTCCAGGATATGAACTTACGTCTCCTAAAATCTAGGCTGGTGTCTTCACTGCAATTCATTCCTCTTCTATTTGCCAGTGTTTCATACCCTCTCAGCACAAACAAGGAAAATCAACATATTTGGGGCAGGTACATGAGCAATTTTACCCTTAGGTTTTCCTGCATTAGGCTGCAGCTACACTGTATGTTTTCTCTATGTAAAATAGAGCTTTAAACAGCCTTTGTACCCTGGCAAACAGGATATGACAAGGCAGCTTTTAGTGGGCATGATTTTGGGCAGGTATGCTTGCATAAGCTTACTGGCCTAACTTGCAGCTACACAAGTTCACTAAGAGAACAAAAATAATAAAGTTGTTGGTCATCTGGATAAAATAATGTAGTCAGGGCCTAGCAGTACAGAGACTCCATTTTGGAAGAGAATTGGTGTTACAAGAACAAATGAACTTACTCCTTTTAGTGTCCTTCCTCCAATGCAAAAGATTCTGTCTTTTACTGTAGCCATCCCATGATCACAGCGGGTAAAGGTCATGGCAGAGTTGCTAGTCCAACGTTGGAGGTGGGGGAGGTAGCTGTAAGTGTCTCGTAAGGTTTTACCTGCTGAGAAGCCCCCTAGAAGAAGAGCAGAAATCTTGAAAATCCATCTGTCAGTCTCAGAATTGTAGAATAGCTTGGGTTGGAAGGGACCTTAAAGATCATATAGCTTCAAACCCCTGCCATGGGCAGGGATGCATCCCACTAGATCAGGTTGGATAAGGCTCTATGCAATCTGGTCTTGAACACCTCCAGGGATGGGGCATCCACAACCTCTCTGGGCAACCTGTTACAGTGCCTCACTACCCAAACATCCAGAAAACATTCTGCAAACATCAGCAGAGCTGACATGGTATGAAATTTAAAATGTGAGCTTCTTAGATATTATTTTTAAAAAATAGTTCCAACTGTTTCTACAGATAGTTATTCACAAATGAGTTTTGTATCAGCTCTTGGGGTATTTCCGGTGCAACCAGGAAGCAAAAACGGCTTTAGTTACAGAATCTGCTTCCAGCACACAGAGTCACCAAATAGTTTTTTAAAAGAAAAACACTTGAAGTTCTTTGAACTACTGACAAAGATTCAAAGTTCAGAGCCAATCTGCCATTGCTATCATCAACTTTCTCTTTTAGGCACTCATTTGTGTATTTCAGGGCTGACATAAAAAGCTCCTTACAGGTCAAAAGTGCTGCTATTGGAAGGGTAAATACTTTTAACTTTCTGCCTGTTGAATTCCAACCTGCAGAGAGGCTTTGCAAAAAATGAAGGTGATACTTCTGGCTGGGCGTATGCCCAGCTTCCTGGGGCTTTGATGCTTTCTCTGTATGCATTGTGCTGTAACCCCATTAGGCTGCTGAGCTCCACACAGCCACTTATTACTCAACAACAGTGCGCTGGGGTGAGAATCAGAAAGGTAAAAGTTAGAAAAACTTGTGGGTTGAGATAAAGATAGTATACTAGGTAAAGCAAAAGCTGTGCATGCAAGCAAAGCAAAATATGGTTTTTTTTTGCTATTTCCCATCAGCAAGCAGATGTTCAGTAATTTCCAGGAAAGCAATACCATCACATATAACGGTTTCTTGAGAAGACAAATGCCACAACTCCCCATGTCCCCCCTTCCTCCTTCCCCATCCCCCCAGTTTTATTGTTGAGCATGACATTCTATGGTATGGAATATAATATTGCTTTGGCCATTTTAGGCCAACTGTACTGGCTATGTCCCCTCCCAGCTCTCATGCAGCCTCCTCACTGGCAGGGCAGCACAAGAAATAGAAAAGTCTTGACTCTGTAAACACTGCTCAGCAACAACTGAATACATTGATGTGCTATCACTGCTATTTTCATCAAAAACTCAAAACACAGCACCTTCTCTTTTCTATGAAGAAAATTAGCTTTGGTTAAATTAACTTTTGTCCCAGCCAAAACCAGGACAACATAGGCACTTTGTCTGCATGGAACTTATTTTTACATCTTTTATTAAAGTAACACTTAATTTCTGAGTTTGCTTGGGCAGGGTAAATCAAATTTGCAGTTACACCACTGATTTTAGAGGGAAATTAATGTTATAGACAGGTCAGGTCTTTTACATAAGGGGTACTTCTGGAATAGTGTTATCCAGCCTAGATCACTACAGCATGTTTGAAGCTCTGTGAAGCTAGGAGGCAATTTTGTCCTTGCTGTCCAGTAGGAATCAAGACAAACAGCAGTTAAATGAGCTTTCTGTGGTACCATGGGTCAACTGAGCCAAAGCAGGGACTTGTACCTGAGCCTCAGCTTTTCCTCTGGCTGAACCAGTATCCTTCCTTTTTGGTCATCTGCACAGCCAGTACAAGAAGTGTTCTGCTGTCAGTGGAGTGTGTGTTGCTTTAAGACAGCCTCTGTACTGCCTTTTCTGCTCTCCAGACCTTAGGTGTACAAATAGTTGCAGGTAAGTGCAGGTCTTTGCAAATGTACAGTTAAAAATTAATGTGGACTAGATCGGCACAGGGATCCCAGCTGGCAATAAGGGGGTTAAGAAGCATGGATCCTATAGCAATGATAGGCAGACCCCAGGACTTTTAACTGCAGATCAATAAAACAAACACCACAGTGCTTTTCCAAGGACAAACTAAAGACTATCTTTCAAGTCTGAATTAGTAGCTGTAGAACCTAAAGATCCTCCAGCAGTTCCGTGAAATGTTTAAATCCATGGTGCTTTCTTGTTAAACATACATACTGCACCATCTACCAAAGATCCTTGTAAAGACCAAGGGGTCTCTTAGAGGATAAGAGCTGTACAGGTCCTGCAGGTAAGAAGGTAAGAACCTGCACTGTACTTATTTTTATATGGACTAACAGTATAGTGCAGGGGAGTTAGTCCCACATCTTCCCTTCAGATTAATACCAGAGTATAATCCCATCCCTAGCACTAGGGCCCTCATTTACCTTTCAGACAGCAAAGCTTTGGGATTTTAGCCAGGACTGCAAGGTCAGAACCAAGTAGGAGTGTGGTTTGCAAGTAGATGATGTCATGTTTAATGTCATGGAAAAAAAATGGCTCCTGCAATTCAAGACACAGTGAGGTTGTGCTGACACAGCAGGAAAAGCTGTGGGTGTTGGTGTAGGTACAGGCTTGGACTACGATGTTCAGATGCCACTAAAAAATCAATGAAAGTATATGGGAATATGCTGATTTTGATTAGCTTTGTCACCTGAAATATAGAGGACTCCCTTGTGTACTGTGCCTGCATGATCAGCAATAGGCACAGGGAAAGGAGCTGCAAACTCCCACTTGTTGTCAGCGGGCTGGTATGATTCCACAGTGCGGGTGAGGGTCCCCAGCAGTGTCCCACCACCCACAGAAAAGATATGATCAGACAGTACATCCGCATGGAAGCGTGTCCGCTGCTCCAGCATGCTGGCAACCTGGAGCCAGGAAGTGTTGCGTGGATCGAATCGGAAAACCTAGAAATATACCAAACAGGAGATGGTTAGCAGAAAGCAGGTGCCTGGCTTTGCATCTCATGTGGCTTCAAGAACTGATAAACATTTTCTCTGGGCTGAGGCATGGTTTACATTCAGAGCTGGACACCTGAAACAGCAGTACCTTGCTGATGGAGCTGGCATCCCTGCGGAGGGCCAGGTGCTGATCTCTGCTCTCTGGAAACAGCTACAGGACCCAAGGGAACAGCATAGAGCTGCAACAGGGGAGGGTCAGGCTGGGTGTTAGGAAAAGGTTCTTCGCCAAGAGGTGTTTGGGCACTGGAACAGCCTGCCCAAGAAACTGTTTACAGCACCAAAGCTACCAAGAATTCAGGAAGCATTTGGACAATGTTTTCAGATATAGGGTCTGTTATGTATGGAGTGGTAATTCGTGTCAAGAAAATGGTTGATATTAATAAAGAAGGGGGAGATTTGGGAATGTGGCCATGGGGGTTGGAAAACCCTGTGGTTGAGATAACATTAGACTCTTAACGACGAGGCCATCAGGAATATAAAAGAGTTTAGAGGGAACAAAGAAGGGTGATTCAGGAGACTCCATGCAGTCTCTGGTTTCTTGTTCCCCAGCTGGTTCTCTTGTTCTCCAGCCATTAAGCCATGGATGTTTCTGGGTGTTTGCTGTTGTTGTTACATTCAAAGTTGTTTGACCAATGAAAAGTTGTTTTGAAAAGAACTGCTGTGGAGAGAAGGGTATAAGAGGGGAGCCTGCCCTCAAGATAAAAAAGGCAACACGATGAAGTTACATCAGTAAAGAAGCAGGAAAAAGAAGTGAAGAGGAACAGGCTGGCAGAATGGAGACCAGGACAGGAGCAGGCATATTGATTGCCTCATGAAGACAGGTTTGGCCAGACTCAGCAAACTGCTCAGAGAAGCTCGCACAGAAAGTCACTGGAAACAGGCACACTGGAGCTGGAGAGAAGCTCGAGCTGAGAGAAGCGGACCCGTGCACACAACTGCCTCTCGCTGGTAAGCAGTTGCACATTATGGGGAATCACATGTCCTTAGGAACAAAGAGTGTCCTGGTAACGTTACAGCTCATTCTCCTTATTAACAATTGGACAGTTTATGAGCCTGAAATATGGGACCAAACTGAGGTCAAGGTGTGGGACTCTGCAACTAAAAATGACAAGGTTGCAGTGGGATTGCTCGGCACCTGGCGAGCAGTCTCTGAGGCCTTGAAGAGCCATGTGGAGCCACAATCACAAACATGTGGTTTGCCAGGTAGTGAGGGAGCTGCAGGCTCCTGTACTGATCTGACTGCTACGCCACGGGCCCCTCTGCTGCTACAGCCATCGAAGGCTTTTGCTGTTACACCCCCTGTTGACCTGAATGTGCCTTTTGACCCAGGCCCAGTGGCCTTGAAAAGGAGATGGATCTGCTTTTCTTCAATCTGGGAGGAACGGGATACAGAAGGCCTGAAGACCGAGTTGCTTGACAACTTAAAGCAAGACATATTGTTCAAAATGAATGGAAAATGGAGACTTGTTAGTAATCAAGAAAAGGAATGGAAAATGGGAGACTGTTAAGCCATGGAACTTAAAGGATTGTTTGTTACCTATCCTGATTGTACGTATGTATAGGCATACTCGGGTTAGTATGTAAAGCAATGTTCTGTATATTTAGAATGTTTGATGTTTGTGTGTGCATGTTGGTGGAGCGTAGACTACCCGCACACCCAGCGCTGTTTACTTGCCTTTTATACCTTTTATAGCTTTTATACCTTTTATAAGTATTTGTTTTATAAATATTACAAAATTCAGATTGAGTTGAGACCTCATTTATATCAGGGTCTGATTTTAGTGTGGTCCTATGTGGAAGTGGGACTTGAACTGAATGATTCTTGTGGGTCCTTTCCAAAAGCAAGATACTCTGCAATTCTAGTATGTAGAAGTGGGAGACCTTCAGTGAGCAAGCCGAGTAACATTCCCTCCCTCCCTCCCTCTCTTCCCTATATATTTTTCCAAGTCTAAAGGTTTCTCGTGTCTTACCTCATTTGATGGTTGCTTTCCCATGGGATCAAATTTGCACTGTCCCCCAATGACAAAGAGGAAGTCACTGATGATGGCTACACAGTGATTGTACAACGGCACACGGAGGTCCCCAACCTTGTACCATGTGCTGCAGCTCTTGTCGGCAGCCCACATCTCTCTGCAAATGCAGTTGTCAATGGTTCTGCCACCAGCAATAAGCAGCGTGGTGGAACTGGAGCGGAGGCTTGTGCATTGGGTCTGCAGGAGTGGCTGAGCATATAGCAGGGATTGGTAAGTCAGAGCCTCCTGAAGGTGTCTGTGGCAGCCTGAATCTAGCTTCATAAAAGGTATTTCCTGAACAAATTCCTGCAGATCCTGTAAAGGAATGAGAGGGAATCTTATGCGCCTTAAAATGTCTGCTGCATCTTCCAGCCGTGTGCGGTCATGCTGCAGCCAGTTCACAGCAGCTCTGAACAGTTCCAGCTCACTGCACCCCTCTGTGTTGGTCCTGTCTAAGATTTCACAAAGGGTTCCTCTGTCAAGATCTTTCAAGCACTGAGGATCAGCCAGTATCTGTTTGTAATTTTGCCCCACATAGCACGTGGCTTTCTGTCTCAACTCTGCCAGACCAAGTTTTTTAGCAATGTTAAGAACATCCATGCAGTTCTCACAGTTCAAACAGCCCTCCAGAAATTTGAAGCATAGCTTGATGACTTCACGAACAAGAAGGGTTTCTGCTGCTTTGAACGTCTCCTCAATATTCTGTAACGAAAGATCTAATTTGTTGGAGTAAATGAAGTTGAGAACATTCCTCAGCCCTGCAGCACTGATGGCTTTCAGATGGATGTTATGATCCAAGCTTCCCACTCTTGTCAAGTTTCCAACAAATAGGATCTTGCAGTAATTACTTGCTGACGCTAAAATGATCTTGTGTGCTGGAAAGCAAACCCCTTCTGCCTCCAGTGTTACATCACACAGTGCTTTCTGGGCATGAAGGCTGCTGATCCCTTCTAGGAGTCTCACCAGATAAGTGTCAGACACAAGCCTCTCCATGTTGGTCTGCAAGCTGAACAACTTCGTTGTGAACAGCACAGTCCCAGGACTCGTCGTTGTATGCTCAGTACATCTCCTGTGCAGTCATCTGCAGATGAACCAGGGGTTTCATGCTTTGAGGGAGCTGAGGCTGTGCTGCTTGCTCCACCAACCCATTCAAAATGCAGACACAGCAGCAACTTCTCTCCTCATCATACTTTTTCAGGTTGCGTCTGCAGGAGCTGAGTGCTGTATTCCTCACAGAGCTAAGTGGGGTTGTTTGCCAGCAGAGCTGTTGGTGCTAGTTATCACAGAAACAGTGTTTGTGGGTTTTGCCTGTGGGCTATGACACTGGCGTTACTGCATTCCTCCTCCTGCTATCTGGTAACTACCCATCTGCACAAAAGCAACTCATTCCTTTGTAGCTCCCCAGCTATGCTTCACTGGACCCTGTGGTCAGGTGCTTTCATCAGGGCAAGCCTGCACATGCCATCATTCCCTTTTTGAACAACAGTCAAACAAAATCTTGTGACATGCACCCCCTTGGCCTTCTTGCTTAATTAGATGCATTCACACAACAGATACTTTGTGGGAGGGGGAGGAGGATGGTGTCAGCAGATACGTCCAGTTCAGTTTGAAGCCTGTTGTGCTGGGGACTAATTTTCTCTATACAGCCTGCTCTTGGGTGCATTAGGGATTGGAGGCTGGGGCCCTCCCAAAGACTAGTGAGCTGCTCACTCAGCTTTTGGCATGAGCAGATCTAGCAGGAAACTTTTGGGAGCCTCTTCCTAACTGTGGATGCAGCAGAAGCAAGGTGTTACATATGGTGTGGTAATCCGTGTCAAGAAAATGGTTGATATTAATAAAGAAGGGGAAGATTTGGGAATGTGGCCATGGGGGTTGGAAAACCCCGTGGTTGAGATAACATTAGACTCTTAACGACGAGGCCATCAGGAATATAAAAGAGTTTAGAGGGAACAAAGAAGGGTGATTCAGGAGACTCCATGCAGTCTCTGGTTTCTTGTTCCCCAGCTGGTTCTCTTGTTCTCCAGCCATTAAGCCATGGATGTTTCTGGGTGTTTGCTGTTGTTGTTACATTCAAAGTTGTTTGACCAATGAAAAGTTGTTTTGAAAAGAACTGCTGTGGAGAGAAGGGTATAAGAGGGGAGCCTGCCCTCAAGATAAAAAAGGCAACACGATGAAGTTACATCAGTAAAGAAGCAGGAAAAAGAAGTGAAGAGGAACAGGCTGGCAGAATGGAGACCAGGACAGGAGCAGGCATATTGATTGCCTCATGAAGACAGGTTTGGCCAGACTCAGCAAACTGCTCAGAGAAGCTCGCACAGAAAGTCACTGGAAACAGGCACACTGGAGCTGGAGAGAAGCTCGAGCTGAGAGAAGCGGACCCGTGCACACAACTGCCTCTCGCTGGTAAGCAGTTGCACATTATGGGGAATCACATGTCCTTAGGAACAAAGAGTGTCCTGGTAACCTTACAGCTCATTCTCCTTATTAACAATTGGACAGTTTATGAGCCTGAAATATGGGACCAAACTGAAGTCAAGGTGTGGGACTCTGCAACTAAAAATGACAAGGTTGCAGTGGGATTGCTCGGCACCTGGCAAGCAGTCTCTGAGGCCTTGAAGAGCCATGTGGAGCCACAATCACAAACATGTGGTTTGCCAGGTAGTGAGGGAGCTGCAGGCTCCTGTACTGATCTGACTGCTACGCCACGGGCCCCTCTGCTGCTACAGCCATCGAAGGCTTTTGCTGTTACACCCCCTGTTGACCTGAATGTGCCTTTTGACCCAGGACCATTGGCCTTGAAAAGGAGATGGATCTGCTTTTCTTCAATCTGGGAGGAACGGGATACAGAAGGCCTGAAGACCGAGTTGCTTGACAACTTAAAGCAAGACATATTGTTCAAAATGAATGGAAAATGGAGACTTGTTAGTAATCAAGAAAAGGAATGGAAAATGGAGACTGTTAAGCCATGGAACTTAAAGGATTGTTTGTTACCTGTCCTGATTGTACATATGTATAGGCGTACTCGGGTTTAGTATGTAAAGCAATGTTCTGTATATTTAGAATGTTTGATGTTTGTGTGTGCATGTTGGTGGAGCGTAGACTCCCCGCACACCCAGCGCTGTTTACTTGCCTTTTATACCTTTTAGAAATATTTGTTTTATAAATATTACAAAATTCAGATTGAGTTGAGACCTCATTTATAACAAAGGGATAGAACATAGATGGTAGCGAGACCTTATGAACACTTTGGCATAAAGTTGTGATCATAACCCAAAGCTGATACATATGCTGCTAGGGCTTTTCCTTCCTTACCTGCTCACTTACCAGGGGTATTTACCCTTTCCTTGGTCTTGGATGCACGACTTTCACAAAGGCTGTGGCTGAGAGGGCAGAGAGTTAATGGTAAGTTGGCTTTGTGTTGTGTTTCCACCTGGCAGGGGTATTTTACAACTCCTCTGGCTCAGTACAGTGTTATGACATATACCAACTGTACCGGCCCTGTGCTGATCCCACAGGCTGTGGCACTGGCATGGATGCTGAGGCCTGGGACTATCAGGTAAGGTGTTAGAGACACCAGCAAGCTTCAACAGCTGCCCCATTTATTCCTCCCCACCCTCCCCCCACCCTCCACCTCTACCTCCAATGACAGTTCTTTTACCTCTTTCAGGTCTGTACAGAGATCAACTTAACGTTTGACAGCAACAACGTAACTGACATGTTCCCCAAGATGCCCTTCACAGAAGCCATGAGAGAACAGTACTGTCAGAGCAAATGGAGCGTGAAGCCAAGAGCACAGTGGCTGCAGACAAACTTCTGGGGAGGAGGTGTGTTGTGTTGGGTGCTCATCACGTAGCTCATATTTGCTCCCTGCATTCCTTTAGCCTGGCTGAGCCCTGCAGGGACAGGCACAGCTAACAAGTGCCTAACAAGCAGAAAAACACAGCCACCAGGCCCAGCATAAGGGCTTGAGCAGACTTTTCTCTCTCTGAAATGGAAGTGGGAAGTTCTGTTGTCCTGTGTTTTCTGTTACTGTTTTTATTTGCTGTAGAAGCCAAACGCCTGTGGGTAAATGGGCAGAAAGGAAGCCTGTCAAATGTCATCTTTGAATTTCAGACTTGAAAAGTGCAAGCAACATCATTTTTTCAAATGGAGACTTGGACCCATGGGCTGGAGGTGGGGTAAGCAGGTTAACTCCCATCTACCAAGCACAGACAGCAGCCTTCCCAGGTGATGCACTGCCCACCTCACCCTTTCAAATCAGTGCTGGCAATACAACTTTAGCCTATCTGAATTTCTGCAAGTGGCTGTTTTATGCTGAACCATTCAGGAGTCGCCGGATGTTAATGACAGACATGTTTGAGTAGTGAGTAGCCAAACAGCCAGGAACATTGCAGCAGTAGCAGTGGCTTCCTGCGTAGAGCAGACACGTCAGAAATCCAGCACCTTGTGGGTCTACCCCACCCCTGGAAGTGTTCAAGGCCAGGTTGGATCCGTTTTTGGGCAGCCTGGGCTGGTGGGAGGTGTCCCTGGGGCATAGAACTGTATGGTCTCTTTCAACCCAAACCATTCTATGATTCTATGAACCTTAACCTGTTGCAATTCTATTTCAAGACAGTCTCAGCACTGCATGTGCCTTGAATTTTCCTTTCTCAGCATGTTTTGTTAGATCAGACAGTTGCTGTAATCATCAATCTAAACCTGGGAACATTTCAGTTTAGAGTCAACAAAAATTCAGAGTGGTGATACAACTCTACTTTTAAAAGACTCAAAACAGGATTTTGGGTTAATTGAACTCTTGATTATACTGCAGGTGGTCCCTTGTTTTAGGCTGGCTTGGCAGTCCCAGCTACAAAAGGAACAGCGTCCTTAGGGTGGATGAGCCTTGTATTTCAAACTGCCTTCTCTAAATTAGGCTGGGTTTTCATATTATGGGAAACCTCCAATTTACCTGAGTCAGAGGGTTTGACTCAAGAGGAGTTAGTCATGCACACAGTACCAGCTATACCAACAATCTCTTCCCATGCATTTCATCACTCCTACCCACATCAGTTTTCAGAACTGATGTCCAGTTCTGCTTGGTTACTCAGTGAGAGTTTGTCTCTGTTCCTTTCATTCCAGATAAATAGCAGCCTAAGTCCTTCACTAATTGTAATAAGCATTAAAGGAGGTGCTCATCACCTGGATCTCCGGTAAGTATGAAGTAACTGACAGGTCACTTTCCTTTGGATGCCAAGATCCTACTGCCATGGGTGTTTGGTCTTAGCTAGCCACAGTCCACAGAACAAAGAGATACTTTATTTAAATAAAACTGGATACCAGACTGTTAAGGCATAATTTTGGAGTCATTTTCTAACCTAATGCAAGTGGTCTTATAGCCTTCACGGAAGACAGGTTATGCAGGACTCATCCCTAAACTCACGTACTTTCTTGGAACATGTTCTGCTTGCCATGAGTGTTTGATGGCCTGTGGCAATCAGTCATATGAAGCAGTCCAGTGTCTCCAGGCATTAACCATCAGCCTTCAGTCCTCCAGCAGAGGGCAACAGCCAATGACGCAAGGGAGAACTCTGTGCTTGTCTAGCCTCCCCTGAGCTTGTTGGGCATTATGTTTACTTGTTTTCTGGGGTTTAAATATGAAGTACAAACCATGAGACTAAAGAGATGATCTCGTGTCCATTAGTTCCCTGGCTGTGCTTTCCCTATGCAAGAGACAAAGATACGGCTTAGCCAAAATGTAGTGCTCTCCCCTAACTAGCTCATACTGCTCTGCTTTCTCTAGAGGACACAATCCAGCTGACCCTCCATCTGTCATAGAGGCACGCAAGTTAGAAGCGAGCATCATCAGTGACTGGGTGAAATCTGCAAGAATGAAAAGAGGATGGGAGAAGCGCTCTGGAGCTTCAGCAAGTGGGTAGCTGTGATAAGACACACATGGAGGTGGCAAGGCTGACACTACTTGCTACCAGGCTGCAAAAAGACCACAGCCTGCTGAGTTGTTCTTTTTGAGAAAGTATTATCTCCTCCACCATGCTGATGAAAATTCACCTTCCTGAAGTGTCCCACCTGCACCTAATAAAGGATCAAAAGAAAAACAAAAGGATAAATCACTGACTGAAGCCAAAACCATGTTAATAGAGTTTCATGTTCACCTACTAATGAGAAGTTATTGTAAATGATGGAAAGAATAAAAGCTTGCCTCAAGGCCCAGGAGTCATCACTATCCTGAACAGTATGGTGGGCAGGATGAAGGTAAATTATTAGAGAACATAAAAATTGGATGACTAGAGGAAAAGCAGAGGTACAGTCATTAAATCGAATCATAGAATGATTTAGGCTGGAAAAGACCTAAGGTTAATTTCAACCTTTAACCTAGTACTAGTCGACCGCTAAACCATGCTACTAAGCTCTACATCTACACGTTTCTTAGATACCTCCAGGGACGGTGACTCAACTAACTTTACTGGGCAGCCTGTTCCAATGCTGCACAATCCTTTCAGTGAATAATTTTTTCCTAATATCCAACATAAACCTCCCCTGGTGCAACTTGAGGCTATTTCCTCTCGTCCTATCACTTGTTGCTTTGGAGAAGAGACCAACCCCCCCACCTCCACTGAGGTAGCTGTAGAGAGTGGTAAGGTCTCCCCTGAGCCTTCTTTTCTCCATGTTAAACAACCCCAGCTCCCTCAGCTGCTTCTCATAAGACTTGTTCTTTAGGCCCTTCACCAGCTTCATTGCCCTTCTTTGGACACGCTCCAGCACCTCAATGTCCTTCTTGTAGTGAGGGGCCCAAAACTGAACACAGTACTCAAGGTGTGGCCTCACCAGAGCCAAGTACAGAGGAAAAATCACTTCCCTAGTCCTGCTGGCCACACTACTTCTGCTACAAGCCAGGATGCTGTTGGACTTCTTGGCCATATGAGCACACGGCTGGCTCATATTTAACTGGCTATTAGCCAATACCCCCAGGTCCCTCTTCCCTCAGCCTGTAGCATTGCATGGGGTTGTTGTACCCACCAGGACCTGACACTTGGCCTAGTTGACCTTCACACAGTTGGCCTTGGCCCATCAGTCCAGCCTATCCAGATCCCTCTGCAGAGCCTTCCTGCCCTCAAGTAGGTCAACACTCACAGCCCAGTTTAGTGTCAATTGCAAACTTCCTGAGGGTGAACTCAAACCCCTCATCCAGATCATTGATAAAGATATTGAAGAGAACTGACTTCAATACGGAGCCATGGGAGATACCACTTGTGACGGCCTCCAACTGGATTTAACTCCACTCATCCCAACTCCTTGGGCCCAGGCATACAGCTGATTTTTAACCCAATGAAGCATATATCTGTCCAGCAAGCTTCTCAAAGAGAAGCCCTGGTTCTCCTGTAAATGCTGTGTGATGTCACTCAGTCTGCTCCATGAAGTTCCCCAGGTCAGACTGACAGGCCTATAGGCTGGAAGGAGGATCTGGGAAACTTTCTTATAGATGGGTGTCACATATGCTAGCTGACAGTTGACTGGGATATCCTGATAAACAGGACAGCTGACACATGATGGAAAGCTGACACATGAAAGACAAATGCTCAGTTACCCTCAGGTAGACCACATCTGGCCCCATAAACTTGTGCACATCTAAGTGGTCTAACCATTTCCTTGTGGATTATAAGGGCCTAGGAGCAGAAGAAAGCTCTCATCTATAAATTCAGGCAGCTGAGTACCCAGAGAACAAAAGGTCTTGCTGCTAAAGACCAAGCGCTCCAGTCTTTTCCCCATTTATTGTCACTATGTTTCCCCACAAAACCAAGAAATGATTGAGATTCTTCTCAGTCCTCCTTTTCCTGTTTATGTATTTATAAAACTTTTTTTTTTCCTCTTTAACAGCAATAGCCAGTTTGACCTCAAATTAGGCTTTAGCCCTTCTAATTTTTTCCCTATGCAGCCTCATGACATCTTTGTATCATACATGCACGGGTTCTTAAGAGATTCCACTAGTGATCAGCTACACAAAGACTTGGTCAGCCTCATGCAGTGCTGTGGGTGCTTTTTTGTTTGTTTGTTTTGTACTGCTGTTACTCAGGAGCTGAGTACTAGTGACCAGGAAATGCACTTACACTTGAGACATCTTCAGGTCTTTTTAAAATAAATTACAAGTTTATTAAAGTGTATGACAATTTCATGGCTTGGTAGTATAAGCAAAGAAGATAAAAAAGAATAGTTTTGATCTTTCAAGGTAAACTCATCTTTGCACATTAACAAGTAGATTTTCCACCTACTAGAATTACTATATACCAATAAATATCAGCATAATTGCAAAAATATTACATCTTAGTTATCAGTTGGATGCCTCAGTTGATGAGGTGGTAGAGAAGTCTCACAGGACACCAAAGGCTTGCATTACTTACACAAAGTCATGGCATTGCTTTAACTTACATGACATTGCTCAAACACAAGACTTTTAAGTATTTGCACTGCCAGGTCCTCCCTGCCATCACAGTACATTGGTTCCCAGAGCTACAATATCAATCACTGATGTTATTTCACAATATTCAGGTGCTGATAAAAGGATTTGGTTTTGTTTGCATATGACTAACTTACCTCTTTCCTGTTCTTAAGCTCAGAAGGCCAAAGCTTCTGCCCCCTACTAAGTAATGCAGGGAAGAACAGGAACAGATGGAAGTCCATTTATCAAATTGTTCAGATATTTACAAATGAAGAACACCATTAGGAAGACACAAACTCCAGGCCCCAAATAAAGAGGCCTTAAGACTACTAATGGAACTATATCCTCAATAATGCTTTTTTTTTTCCCTTCCCATTTGTGCTGTAGGAAAACCTGCATCCCCCTGCTAAGAGCCGTCAGCATCCCTTTTGCCCTTTTGCTCATTACTAGTCATGCTTTTTTTTTTTTTCCCTGAAACTATGGGTCATACAAATCTGCCTTAGTGAGCTACAACCTCGTATTCATCTTCCATGCACAGAGACACCCTCCCGTTCCCCAACTTTTCTGAACTGAGATTTGCTGTACCCTAGCAATTATTCATTAGTAGCACCACATAAAAAAGGCATAGTGGTGGATGTCTGTGCAAAGAGAGAGGATTGCATCTTGCTTCTATTACCTAAAGCATCGTTAGCTCCCAGCAAGCAGGCACCCTAAACCAAACCATCAGTATATTAAAGCAAACCAGTTCAGTGTACACCTTTTGGAAAGTAATCTGCAATTTACCACCTTTGGACACCAGCTTTTTTGGTGCCTTTGAGCGATCAGCTGCCCACGGCATCTTATGAGCTTCAAATTCTTTAATCATAGAATCATAGAATCATAGAATATCCTGAGTTGGAAGGGACCCTTAAGGATCATCAAGTCCAACTCTTGACACCGCACAGGTCTACCCAAAAGTTCAGACCACGTGACTAAGTGCACAGTCCAATCTCTTCTTAAATTCAGACAGGCACGGTGCAGTGACCACTTCCCTGGGGAGCCTGTTCCAGTTTGCAACCACCCTCTCTGTGAAGAACCTCTTCCTGATGTCAAGCCTAAATTTCCCACGCCTCAGCTTAACCCCGTTCCCGCGGGTCCTGTCACTGGTGTTAATGGAGAAAAGGTCTCCTGCCTCTCGACACCCCCTTATGAGGAAGTTGTAGACTTCCTCTTACAATGAACTATGGCTGATCCTTTATTTTCCTCTTGCAGATAGTACCTGCCCCAGAGGAATCCACATAGTGTGAAGGACATACATCAAGTGTTTGATTTATATGGATGGATGAATACTAAAATCTAAAGTACTTCCGCAAAGGGATAAACTAGATACACATGGGCTTCCATGCAGACTATAGATGAGCAGTACTAAAAATAATTACTAAAATAAGCTTCAAACTGTGGTTGAAGACCAAAGGTAGTACCACAAACATATATAACATTTTGAAGCCTTGGGCAAGGAAGGATGGGATATAAGAAAAAACTGGCGATGTGGTGCTCTGTGAACTGACAGGGAAAACCCACAGCAGCAGACACCATTCATAGACATTGTGGGACAGGTGCTTGTGGCTGAATTTCTGGGAACACAAAAGGAAAATGGAGTACAAGCAGACAGTACATGACCTGAAACACTGTCAATAAATGCTGGTTTAAGACCTGTATCAGTGATGTCATTGAGAAAAGGCTTATTTTATTTTATCACCACATAACAGCATAAGGAAGGTATGACCAAGTTGGGAACATTGCACAAAGCAGTAAGAACAGTGTCTCTGGCCCCAAGCCTTTAAGTCAGAGTTCGGAAACTGATCATGCAAATGAGCAGGTTTTCTGGGAAGCTGGCAAGCACAAAACATGAATATCCAAAGGCTTCATTTTTATTGGAAGCAGAGGCCTCCAGACTTTGACATTAAGTTCCAACAATACTTGCAGACAAATAAACAACCTAACAAAAACACGCACACAAAAAAATCCTTTCCAATCTGAAGTTGGGGAAAAAAAAAGTCTTAGAGCAGGAGAAATGCAAAGAACTCACAAAACTGTTTACATGTTAGTTGCAAAAAAAATGTCCTATCTGCATTCCTTATCACTGCACTATCACACAGGTATAGAATAGGAAAGCGAGCTGATTCTTTGTCTAGTATTTGGAGAAGTAAATACAGCTTTATTTGAGCTTGAAATTTAATGCTGAAAATCTTAAATGTTCACCATGGAAGGGCCCCTGTAAGCTTACACCACGGACCTTGCAAAACTCTCAGTTTCCCAGTCTGGTAGCAAGTATTCAGTTATCAAAAAGGTTGAACAAAGATTAGATGCTAAACGTGCTCTGCATCCATCTATTGATTTTTCTTTGAGCAAACAGATTAAATCCCAGAGTGGGAGGTTTCCAACCGCTACATTTGTGCAGTATTCTATGGGTGTGACCATACCCATTTGTTTCTCAGTGAAAGCATAAATGAACAGTAGAGCTGGGTACAACTGTTTTTGTTTGTTTGTTTTTTTGCTTTAGTTAAATTAGACAAGGCACTCAAGCTCTTGGAGAGAAACCAAGGCAGCTCTTTGTGCAAAATGACACAATCACTGGCTTGAAGAGATTACGTTTCCACAACATTTGACTTAAGTGTCAGAAGCACACTAGGATGCTGAAACACCAAAATGAATTACAGACCCCATACTTAAGGCTGTGGTTCAAAGAACCGCAAGAGTACACCCCCACATGCCCCTAGGAAAAAAAAAAAAGTACACAATTTCTGTTGGTTTTGGGAAGGCAGGAAGGGAAAACATATAGTAGAAGTGAGATGGACAAAGCTCATAGTCTGATCTGACACAACATATTATATTAAGTAAAAATAAATAAGCAATTAAAATGACATTTGCAAAAGAACAGGAAGAAGCAGATGAGCTTTTGTCATATTATTCAGGTTTGTGCCATTTCACATATGATAAAGGAGTCAAACAAGCATTTGCTTTCTATACTAAACAGAGCTGAGCAATCTTAACTTCAGACATGAAGGATGTGTACAGTAAAGTCACACTTCACAAAGACAATTCAGGAAGAATTAAGTAGAGAAGAAATCAGTTGTACCAACAAGCTCAGCTAGAAGAAAAAAAATGTGTTTGGGAAAGTGCATGTTTATTCTTCTCTCCTTCCTTTTGCTCATTCTGCAATGTATTAGTATTACTCTCATGTTAAACATGACACAATAGGAAATTTTAACACAGACTCCCACAGTCTCATTTGTAGAGTCAACTACATTAAGATCAGCATAAGACTTCAACAACAGATTTTTGGTGAACACCTAGATACATTCCACATCTTCAGACTTCTCTTCATTCCCTCAACAGGGCTTGTCCTATAGGTGAAACACCACAGTTTGGAATTTTTATGATCCATGGCAAAATCAGCAATTATGGGATCAATACTAGCTGCAATTGAAGGCACGAGGCCCAAGCAACATAAGTTAGAACAAGAGGTTGTGTACTCACACTGAATTAATCTTCTTTTTTATTTTGTTTTATTTTATCTCATTTTAATCCTCCATTTTTTAGCCAAAGCTGAGATCCAAAGTAACACAAACCTGCTTCACAAACTAAAAGACTGAAGGTGTTTCCTTCTCCATTTCAACAGCAGTTTCCTTCTTCTCTGTTACATCAAAGAAAATCTTAGTATCAAATAGATTGTGCAAGCTAAGGCTACTGGATTACATTGCACACATGAGAAACTTACTTCCAAGGTTACTGCTGGCTTTTGAACTGGAGGGACATTATAATTCTGCACAAAATTCTCTTGTCTAGAAAAATCACAGGGTCTTTTCGATGACAGGAAAAGGTGCAATTTATAAGATTCCTTCATCTCCGTAAGTCATCATTAGTAAATGGAATGATAAATATTCTTTAAAGGGACTTCAGTAGTGGTCCGTATAGTAAGTTCAGACTCAAGCAAACAGAATTAATCAGCATAAAACAAATACCTTACTTTAAAAGTCAATGGTTACAAATGCTGTAAAATACACATATGCCTAAGCCACTGGAAAATTAACCATTACAATCAGATTTAGACTAGTTCTGTTTTGCAACCCTAGATTTATAGGATACTGTATCTCACTTCCACTACCATACACCTGCATACTTCCCACTGCTCCCATTAACTAATTAAAAAGAGGAAAAGACATTTTGGTGAGAGCAACCTCTTTAAAATTACAAACAAATTTCTGTAATCTGTGAATATGGAACTGTGCAAGTAGATACAAAGCCAAAGGCAGAAAACTAAAGAAAGCTGGTTTCCGAGTTCATGGTTTAAAACCTATTTGCACATATAAAAACAAAAGATGCCAAGGCTCCTATAAGATTCTATACAAAGCAAACCTGAGTCTGCTTTCTTTTCAAAGAACTGAAAAATCTTCAGTGATTCTATTGCAACCACGAATTCTCATAATACATCTAGACTGTCTGCTTTTAATACTTCTGATGAAAACATGTCTGCCAAGGAACCCCTAACAACAACAAAAAAATGACAACTTCTCTACAGTCTAAACAATGACAAATAACCTGAATTTTGCTGTATAGTTGTAAGCATGTTGAGTCAACAAACACCTTAAAATGCAAGATGTGGACAGGAAGAGATGGAAGGAGGTTGACTTGGAATTATATCTAATGTGCTCACAAGCTTTCCCAGTGCCCAACCTCACAAAGCAGCTTTCAGTCAGAATACCTGAGGTCTAACTGATACAATTAATATATATAATGCATGTGTAGTTTCACTTGTTTCACATTGTCTCCTGCATTCCTGCAGATAAGTTTAAAAAAACTGCAAAATGTCTACAAAATTATACACCACTTTGAGCCAAATCAGCAGCAAATTCTGTTCCATCATTCATTTCAACCACAGCTTGAACAGATTGTTCAAAGTGCTCTATAAAACTAAGACACTGTACAACAGTTGCTCTGCTGCCACTTCCTTCTCATGTGATGCAGCACAGATTGGTAGTTTGGAATGAGATCAAGAGTATCAGTAACAATACTGACAGCTTTAACTTCTACCTGGGAAATTATGGTTCATCGTTTATTCTACTTAACATCTGAAACACCATATACTCTTATGAAGGAATGGCGCCATAACCACGTGTTTCAGTACATCCAGAACAAACCTGAAGGCTTATTCCTTCTCTCCAGAGACATCCCTGTGCTTTAAGACATCTTGCTGCATTCCTGATATTTAATTAGCATTTATTAAGACTGACATAAGTGAGTTCTGGTTCACCAGAGCCCCGTGAACATCATGGTCCATACTATAATTATTCTCTAAGCCTCATAATCATCAGTACCAGGAAAAGCAGCTTAATATTGCACAGATTGTCCATCACAGAACCAAAGCACAGGGATTAGATATAAGACTGACATGACTTCTCCAAACCAGAGATGCTTTCTCAAAGGTTTTGTTCAAGCCTAAAAAAGGTGCAATACAGCATCTCTCCTCAAACCCTGAAATTTAAAGTGACTTGAAGATAAAAACAACACCACTGGAATGTCTACTGACACCCTATCTATGCCGGCACCCAGATTGGGAGTGGATGAGCTTCTGTGTTAAATACAAATTTGTCAAGGTTGATTAAGTCTACGTCATCTGAAAACAGCAGAAACATGTACTTGAGTGTTTCCCCAAGGAAGAAGCTCTCCATTTTATCTCGTGGCTCTGGATTACTGGGATTCTGAACGTTGTTAATGGAAGTATAACCACCTGTAGGAACCTGTGCAAAAAGAAAAAAAAGCAGAAACTTTGTATATTTCTATAACCTAAAATATTTTATTTTAACCTTGACATGCACCTCCTCCTGAAGAAAATTGCTAATATCTATTAGTACTTGCTTTTCATTTGCACATAAAAATTCAGTTATGAAAAAAATCTCAGTGCAATTCAAAACAAACCACGAAACAAACTGCTAGAATAAAATGAAGCAAAATGTTCATTTATGCTTAATTTGAAGAAGTATCACAAAGAGCATACCAACGAAGTTTCTGGACAAATGCACAGGAACTAAATAGTGTAATGTTTGCATTACAGGTGGTCAGAGTACCATACCTATCCTGTTAAGAACAGATCATTGAAATTTAATGACCATTGGCATCTAGACCACACTTTTACAGCATATCAAAGCAGCATCTCCATGAGCACTGCTGTAAGAATAAATAAAAAAAGCCCTTTATTAAAGCATTATTGCACTTCCACAGCAATTTTTGTCTGGCCACTTTAATCAAAGTATTGTTTCAACCCATCCAGGTACTTCTCGGTTTCTGAATTCTAAAGATCACAGTATAGATCCTAATAGCTTCCAAGACAGCATACAAGTACTTTGGTAGTCTGCATAGACCTTCTTCATTTTACTTTTAATCAATGTAATATAAGTAATCTTGCTGAATATACTAAGTATCTGGTGCATCTCAGACTGTAAGGCACTGCATGAACCGACAGGCACTGCATGAACCGACATTTTACTGTGTTCTAATGAGTATCCTTGCAGTTTTTTGATGGCTTCTGAGAAACAAAGTTTCAGAAGTTCTCATCAGAGGGAGAGTGAATAAAGTCCTGAAAGAACCAGGTCGTTATCAGCTGACCTTACCCGTGTGTATTTATTGAAGTTCTGCAAGATTTCCCAGCCCCAGTCTTGGTATTTCTTATCTCCGGTGAATCTGTACATATAAAAAAGGCTTTCCACAGTTTCTGGCCGCAGTAAGTTATGCCTGTCTGCAGGCTGCAAGAGAAAAATAAAAAAGCAAATAATTCAGACTAATACATATGCAGAGAGAAAAATCGCAATTCCTATTTACATCTACCCTAAAAAGGTTACTATGTATAATTCAGCTTCTATAATAAATACATTGCAGGGTTAATTATATCCAAGGACTAGGGTACACCTGGAAAACAATGCAGCGCAGAACAAGCTGCTTCACAAGAACAGAGTACATCACCAATGTCCAGACAGGAGCTTTAACAGCATACTAGAGATACAGAAGAGACATCAAAGTACTGTTGAGGCCTGCTAACTGTTCACCTTGATTTCCACATCTTTGTGGCCCTTTTGTGCATGAAGATTGAAGTGCACAATCTCTGGACTCAGGCCTGTCTCTACTTGCTCATACATTTGGTAACACGTTTCTATCAGGGCTTCGGCCAGTTTCATATGATCAGCAGTCAATCCATTGTGAGCTCCCAGTGCCAAAGTACCAGGCAAAAAACAAACCAAGTGATCCTGTAAGACAAGACAACTGTTGCTAAGAAAAAAGTTACAAAAATCAAGTGAAGCAGGATTAATATTACACACACAGACACATTTGTGTTCAAATTGTTTGTGTTTTGTTTTCTTGACATTTCAGGTACAAAGTACTTGAAGGTAAAATTTAACTATCTAGTGTAATGCAACACAAAACAGAATGCATTATTACAGTAACGTCACAAATTTGAAAAGACCACGTGTTTTTATGTCAGGTATCTGAAAGAAGGGTGGCAGGTCTGGGCAAATTAGGGGGAAGAGGGTGTTCTGTTTTACCAGAACTGTACATTTAATACCAACTGGGGGAGGGGGAATTTATCATCTGAAGGTTTCTCAATAAAGACAACTAAATAAGGGACAAACTGATCATCTGAGCTTAAAATTAAACTTCTAATAGAACACAAGCACTGCTATAAAGTTCATTAGAAAAAGAAAAATACTTTGAGACAGCATTTAAAAGAGATCCTAGTGGATTTTGAAAGCTTAGTACTTCACAAAAATAACAGCTAACAAACTATGACGTCCATCAAAACAGCAAGTTAAAGGAAAGTGATACTGCCTAAAAATACTATTATTTAAAATATTTACATAATGATTTAAATAATTATTAAGTAATTATGTTTTAAATTGTATTTTTACAGAATAGTATTTAAAATAAACATGTAACATATGAAATGAACTTCCCAAGTGCCAGTATTTTAAAATGAAACCTGAAGTAGGACCACAGAGAAAGATGAGTAAGCCACAGAAAACAAAGCTTAGGAGAAGGGGGATAGGGCAGCTGAAGCAGATTTTCATTACTCTGAAATAACCACCTTAGCATGCTGTAAGACAGACGACATTCACAGAGACAAAACCACTGTAGTTACATCCACTGTTACAAGTGGAAAACACTGACAATATATATTATCTATATTTCTGCCTGAAAGCTTGCCCCTTTCTTGCAACTTTATTTGGAGTAATAAAAAGCTTTTACCCCTAACTTCTATAGAGCATCAGAGATGTAAGAGTACCATTCTTCTAGAGCACAGGAAACTGCTGACTCACATTCCTACCACTACCTCTCCTAGACTTCCCCTCTTGCCTATAGCAAATTGAATGTCACAGATACTAAGCACTGCAAACAAAACATATTTGGCTCTTGTATTTCACAGAGGAGAGGCACCTGAGGATGACTTGTACACAGAGTATTCTGTATTGGTTTCCCAACATGCAAAAGCAGCAGAGAAAGAACTACAGGGACATTTCTGTCATCTTCCAGAAGTGTCTCACATGTCCAGAGAATACGTCTTGGCTCAGACAGCGATCACTACAGGTCAGATTTTCTCTGACAAGCTGCAGGCAACTCATGAGACGCATAACAGCTATCAAAGCGTTTTGTTTGTTTGTTTTTTATTGGTTTGTTCATTTTGTGGGGATGGGCAGAGGAGAAAGAGAACACAGCAGGCTTGCATTTGCCTGTACATATGTGGATATTTTTTGGTGGTAGTTGTTTTGCTGTTGTTTTCTTTAATTGTCATTTTAAATGCAGGTGTATTCTTACCATCTTGGCACTGAAATGGCCATGAGCAAGCTCTCCTACAAAGGTAAGCTTCTTGGGTTGTGATCTCTGAAGAAGATGCTTTTTCACACCTTCTATGGCTCTCATATAGTCTTCCAACAGTCTGTGAATTAAAACCATTCCAAGTTGGCTCACATACTCACATAAGTTTAACCACACCTGATATTGGACACTTATTAGTTACTGCTACCATGTAACCATACACGTTTGCTTTTCAAGTAACCCCTAAGTTTAAAGTATTAAGGTAAAAGATATCATGAACCCTGTTTCCAGACAACCACCACATTTCATTTCAGGAATCCTTAAGAGCACAGTAATTCATACCACAGTTAATCCAGGCTAGTACGGACATGTCTAGCTCAACCCCCTCCTCTAAATTAGATTCAATTATATCAGGTTACTTGGGGACTTTCCAATTAATTTCTGAGTATCTCTGAAGATGGAGAAACAACGAGCTTGCACAATCTGTTCTAATATTTCACTACCCTCTTTATGAAACTTTTTCACAATATTTAATTGCTTCTCTTACATGAAAGTACTCAAAACAAGGGAAATTCCATTTTGAGGCTCACAAAATGCTATCATTCATAGACCTAAAGACAATGGTTCTCAGTTTACAATGAGGTATGGCTTGGAAAAAGCCATGATGCAAACTTTCTTTGTAGATTTGCTCCAAAATGCCTCACCAGGGCATATGGTCTCTCTGTGTGCATTAAACCCTGTGGATTAAACCCTTGACATGAACAAGTCCAACATAATTAGCTTGTAAGGACAAAAACTGGTTAGATTTTTCTTTTTTGTCTTGTTTGGGAGGAATTCCTTTTCAATATTTCTAATTGTTCTACTCCTTACAAACATTCTCTTCACTTATCCAGGGCAGGTAGGAGAAACACGAGACATAAAGCAACACTTATGCAAGCTTCAGTATCTCCTTCTTTCTATGAGGTTACACCATGAAGATCAAATCTGCCACCTCAACCAACCATTTAATAGGATTTGTCTCCAGTCTCTAGTGCTCCTCTTATCTGATGTGCTAACAAAGAAAAATTTTCTGAGGAGAAGTTTTTAGTTTAAGCCTAATTCTCATGCTGCTTTTACATCAATTTACCATAGGTCCTCTTGGCTCGCTTTTAAAAACAGGTATTTTTAGCTGACTGTTGCACATACAGATTATTTTTCTTTAGGCAGTCATATACAGCAGAAATTTTTACAGCTTGTACCATTTTCACACCAATATGAGAAGTGGAAAGAACTTACTCATTTTCTTTTTTCCCACCCTGAATCCATTGCTTGAGCAAATACTCATAGTAGCTGTCAGCTCTGGCTCCCAGAGTATAGACACCCAAATGAGTGAACTGCCCGCTATTGGTGTTTATGAACATAGGCACCAGTCCATCATTTTTCCCTGAGAGCGTGTGAACATGTTTCATCACCTCATCTACAGCTTTCTGGAAGAAAGAAAATAAAAACCAAATTCCACGTACGAGACTGTAGCTAGTAGCTTCAGGCTGAAAACAAATCTTTATTCTTCTTCAAACTAGTATCAGGGATATCAAGTTCCATTCATGCAATATACTAAATACAGGATTTCAAACTTTCTGACTTTCATAACCTCATGTTATGGGCAAATATGATTACCTTGCAATAATCATAACTATCTCCTTCCCAAATACAGGGCGATAGTCAGCTATATTCCCAAGTGCTATAAGCCCATTCAAAAACCAGTACTGCAAAAAAACAATACTGGGGCATGAGACTACAATCTGACTTAGTCATATTTGCACAGTAGAAGTGCAGCTAAAATAACAACTACGTGAACCCGCTATAGCTAAAAATTCTTTAAAACAACAGAATTAGGTTACCAAATAAAAAGAAGAGTGGAAATTATTATTTTAGTTTCAATTAACTTTTTTTTTTTTTTATACTGTGACTCGGAATCTAATTTAATAATTCTAATTCCTTGGAGGGCAACAACAGGGTTTTGTTCTTTGCACTTACATAATGGCACCAAGAAACCACACACAGAATTCTAAATATTAAGCAAGGCACAGCTTCACAGACCTTGTTTAGCTTAGTATATTTTTTCAAACTTAATAATGTGGTGTTAAACAAAAACATCAATACTAAGAACTGTGTGTTTTTTTTGTTTTGTTTTATAAAAAATGAAAACTGGAGATTATTCATCTCCACTACTACCTTCTGATATTTAAGAAAATAAGTCAAATGATTTATTTTTCTTATTCTTCCTTCATCTAGAGTTTCAAAACTCATTTAACATCACCGAGAGACTACAGAGTCAGATGTGGTATAGTATATAGGCAGCAAAAAGGAACAACATCAACAGGTTCTTCCATACCTTGAATTTCTCATCTCCAGTAAGACGAGAAAGCTCCCTAAACTCCAGCTGAATACTGGTCACCTCTGCCACAGTGCTGTCAGATGTCCAGCGAGGTGGATGTGCAGTGCCCCGGCCAATGTTGACATCAGAATAGGGTATCTTGGAGGGGGTCTTGAATGCTGGCATAAGCCTATTCCCAATGTCTTTCTAAAGAAAAGCCAAGAGCACAGGACACACGCAAAATAAAAACAGGACACAAAAATATATACAGACACCCAACCCTTTATATTTTCTTTCAGCAACCAGACAGAGAACAGTACCTTAGTTTTAGATTCTGAAAGAAAGCAAAGAATTAAAAATGGTCATGGATTTACTCCTAACAACAACTACAGAGTTTCTACCTTGTTCCTAGTACTGTATGCCTCATTTGAGTCTGCAGTCCCTATACAACGTGATTTAATCCTGAAATAAATGACTGAGATACTAATTTAAGGAGGTGGTTGAAGCTGTTAAGATGCCTATACAGAAAAGGCAACAAAATACAACTATTACTCTTTTCCAGTCATTTACCCTTTTTTTTTTTCCCCATAAACTTTCTTATTATGGTCAGCTCTTTATTAACAGAGGAACAGGCACATCTGTAAGCATACTTGACAAAACACATTAGGGCTCTGAGGTGATCCAGGGTGAAAATAGAAGTGAAGGCTCAAAAGACTAATAGTAAATCCCTCTCCCACCATTTTAAATATGAAACGGTTGCAAAATGGCAACATTCAACTTTGTGATGAATCCTCCCTCAACTTTGTCCAATATGAGGTATACAGTCCAGTTTCATTACTAAGACTCTAATCACTCACAGCTTTTTCCAGGAAGAGGCTATCTCCAGAGAGATGGTAGGTGCTCAGCAAGCCACCAAGAATACGAATTGTGCTCTCAAAGAGGTTCACATCCACATTTTTATCAAAGACTAAGTCGTTTGCTACCCATATTCTTGCTTCTTCAAACTCTGAAAGGTAAAAAGTGTAGTTCACTTATGGATTTCTGGCATGTTCCAAAAACTGTACTAGAGAAATCAGCATTCCATATACCCATGACAATTACTTATGTATCTGTCTACCAAGATCATAATTTTTGGTTGAAAACTGTAGCAAAGAGAACACAATAGGTGAAAATTGATTTTTTTTTTGGGGGGGGGATTCAGTTCTTGAATGTCTTGTATTTGGGGTAAATAGTCTTCTCAGTCTACTCAAGAAGAACCACAGAAAAATCTGCGCTGTCTGTTGTTACCATTATCTAGTAGTAAAATAAAAAAAAAAAAAGTCAGGTACTCTTTTTCACAGAAGCATTAGCATTTATCAGCTTATAAGAAAAATCAGCAACCTCAAACATAACTTTCATTTAGACTGCACTTTATTCAAAAGAAATCCCAAGAGCTTTCTAAGGCAATCACCAAAGAATTGCTATAAAATATAAAGTAGTCTTCAACAAGAATCCATTTCAACACATCTGAACTACTAATATTTTAAAAGCTCTGTGCAGTTTACAATTTTTTTTATTTTTTTTTACGGAAATAGCAGCACACTGTCAACTTGACAAAATTTCAAGACAACCTGCTCAAGTCTAGAGCTGCAGACACAAGATACGGAGTTTTTGTTTGATTTAGTATTTTATACAAACCTCAAACTTAGAAAAGAGAGAACCAAAGGTTTCACTGTTCTTTGTATCCTTTCTAGCAACTCTGTTCTTCCTATCTTGACACTAAGAATGGCATAATTTGTAAAAGTTTACAAAGGAAGCTATCTAACAGTGTTCAATTCATAAAGTTCCAGAAAAAAAAAAAAAAAAAGAAAATCTAGAGAACAACAAAAACACTCTTACACACTTAAATACTGATTAAGCAAGTTTTCTTCAACAGAACTGCAGATTTTTGACTTAGTATTTAAAATCTATTTGAATCTGTTTGAAAGTCTTCTAAAAACAAAGTCACTTTCAGAATATATGAAAAACATACAGACAGTAGAGAAGTTCACAAAGGTGGTATTGAATACTCCCCTCCTCTATCCACTGATTCCTTACATAAGCTTCTGAAATCCAGCTATGAAATATTGATATTAGGTATGATAAAACACAAACTAGATCTCCGGCCAACTACATGAGGCCGATGGATAGAAAGCCCGCCGTGGCTGTATAAAGGCACAAAGATGTCACTAGTATTTTAGTACAGAAACCAAATCAAGTGGCTTATTAATCCATTCCTCAGTTTCTAGCACATATATCCAGTTATACCTAATAGTGTAATATTATTTTCTGGCTCAAAATTCTAATCCAAGAGCAATGGTCTCTTTTCAAACTTTTTTTTAATATTTATTTTTAGACGTTGTGCATGTGCACACACACCCTCACAGGAAAACTAAACTTATCAGCCACACGTAATAAATGTTCCCTTAAAGAATGCTGCCCATATTGCCTGAATAGAAAATAAGCAATTTCAAGGTAAAAAAAAAAAATGGAGAAAAAATAAATTACCTTCTTTTAAGCCTAGAATCCACATAGTATCCAAGGCATCAATTAAGGTAAGCCCAAGTCCAAACCACTCACTGTAAGACTTGGACAAAGGCTTCAGTTCATCATGGCCCCAAGCAAAATCCTTGTATCCTTTCCATGCATGGCGGAATGCTTCTATCACAGCCATTTGACGTTCATTTATGGGCACTGAAAAAGGAAGACAGCACCTTGCTCAAGACTTCTGCAGGGAACTACCAAACTCCATATACTGCATATACATGCATCCCTATACTGAACACCATTTTGCTGAATCCTACCCAGAATAAAGTTTCTTCTAAAACTACTTAAATTATGTAAGTAGAAAAAACTCAGGTTATTCTTTTCAGCACAGTCTTTCCTCTGAGGAATAACCAGTCAGTGTCTCTGGTCAGCAATTTACTCATGGAAACAAAGATCACTCCCTCACAATGTCATTTCACCAAATACGTTAAAATGTTCACACACAGAGCTGTGAGATGAGTATCACTAAAGCTCACACACACAGAGCTGTGAGATGAGTATCACTAAAGCTCAAAGACCTGAAAGTCAGGAAATACCAGAATTAAGACTTTAAATCAACTGTAATTCAGCTGCTGTGTATGTATGCTTACTAGGTACAGACCTCAGCTTTTTACCACATAACATTTTTCTTTATCTTCCCTATCTTATTTGTTCCCTTTAGCTAAATTTAAAGTTAGTTCTACAAAATAGTTTTTCTAGAACTTTTCATTCTAGAACTCTTCTGTTTTAGAAGGAAGAAAATTGTCATTTCTGACTTACGCAAATCCATGTCCTTTTCTATGGTTCAACTGAAGGTTTTGCTTACAATTTGCCACAAAAAAAATGAACTCATGGTACATATCCAACAAGAAAATTTTAAAGCCCATTAATTAATATTTTGGAGACCTATACACAAACAGAATTCTACAGGGGGAATATCAAGCAGTAAAACTAACCCCGTTTATACTTAGCTAGCACAAGCCAAGTACATCACATTGTATTATGCCACATTTATCATATTGGAACTTCCTTACATGAAACCACAAAGCATAACAACAGGTTCTTTACTCCACAAGGAGTCCAACAACTACAAAAACAAATTTCTACTGCTTCCTGATGAGCCTTAAAAAAGAGTCCAACTTAAATTAGGGAGGAAGTCACTTTCCTTGGATTTGCAGAACAAAAGAAAACACTGCCGAAAAAGGAAACTCACTTTGAAGCCCTCTCTCTTCAAACGTCCGTTTTCTGGAGAACAGACAGGAATGTCTGGCTCTTCCCATAGAATAGATTACAAAAAATTGACACTAAAATTTATTTTCAATACCATTTTAACGGATTAAGGAAAGCAAGGCTGGGCAAGAAGATCTGAATGGAATGTGTGCCCTCTTTAAACAAAGGGAAAAAATATATCGTGCAAATATTTCAGTACATTCTTCTGATTTTTCTTGTATGGCCGAGACAAAATCAATGTGGGAGAGCAGCACCCGAGATTCAAAAGATAAGGGGTGAAACTGAGGACATCCTCACAGTGTCACAATGTGACAAGATTATCTCCTGGTAAAGGAACAGAGAAGTCCATAATCAGAAGCCTCTCTAGCTTAGAAAGAACTTGCTTCAGGCTTTCAGAGGATATAATGCTATTGCAAAAATATAGAGTCTGAAGGAATAGGCACATAAGATTGCTTATAAGTAAATGAGCCCTTGGTAGTTATGGTTCCAATAACGTACAGAAGAAAACATGCCTCTTAGGTGCTACATAGAACACATTTTAGAATACATTTTCCAGAAGGACACGTGCATTTTATAACAGGACAGAGGTAGCACTGAGCTACCAGGAATAGTATGTATAACACACATTCTGCAACCTACTCACATTGAATCTGACCATTAAAGATAGTCACAGCAAACTGTTTCCTACCATGGCACTGGACACATTAATTAAGTTATACACATGCATCAGAGTATTGTTTATTCAATACTGAAAACTGAGGCTGCAGATCAAACAAAATTTTGAAGACTAACAAGCATGTACATTGTCATGGTGAAATAAGCAAACTGAAAGGTTCGGATGTCCTAGGTAAATCATCTTTCCTACGCATTTTTTGTTCTTATTCCTTTCTCCTGTCAGAATTTTGTTTCCTTCATTTAAAGGAAATAAACACGTGCTGGGAGTGAACAGAAATTAGTTGTGCTATTTACCTGGTTCCTTCTGGCCTTCGGCTTCCAAAGATGAAGGTTTTTCTGATTCCTTTATTTTACTAGATGGAGGCTCAGTGCTTTGGTCGGGTTCTATCACTGCTCCTCTCCAGCTGCAAACACAGAGGATTGAAATTAATACTTAATTTGATCACAGTAAGTTCTGCAACTGAATGAGACTTATTTCCTATTTTTCACTATATTTTGATAAAATGATTGATTTTGTATCAAGGGTCAAAATAACCATGTTGTCCACTAGATAATTGTTTTGTTCAAAGGAAAGGTATTTGTGCCAGAGAATTTTTTCTCAATTAAGATATGCATCTTAGAACAGGCTCCTGGAATTTCATTAAGTATCTTGACAACAGAATTTAATAAAGAACTTTTTAAAAAGTACTAAGATATCTGAGATTGCTACATTGAAGCATTTTGTTACTTACTGGTTCTGAAATAGTCACAGAAGTCACTAACACTAAATCAGTACCACACAAATGATGATCAGTAAGAACTCATGAATAAACACAGTGGACTAGCTATTTAAAATTGCTTTAATTCCAAGAGATTTCCCAAGCATCCACAACCAACACAGAAGCATAAATCAATCAAAAGAGGTTTTCATTATCGTTACAAATTTCCTGAAGGTAAAGTCTTTCAGAATGAGCTTCACATCAAGCCAGGTTCATATCAACATCAATTGATCTATCTCAACCATGCTGTTTACTGTGTAGATATGTTAACTTTGAGGTCTCTGTGTATCTTGAGTTCATGATATTACATGGGCAGACAGCGATAGGGCAAGGATAAACGAGGGGAGATTTAGATTAGATGTGAGGAGGAAATTCTTTACTTGGAGGGTGGTAAGGCACTGGAACAGGTGGCCCAGAGAAGTTGTGAATGCCCTGCCCCTGGAAGCATTCAAGGCCAGGTTGGAGGGACTTTAGAAAAGCTGGCCAACTGGCTGTACCTGGCAAGGGCTTGGTAGTAGGGGGGCTGCTGGGGCAGCCTCTGTGAGGAGAGGCCAGCAGCTGCCCCATGTCAGATCAGAGCCAGCTCCAGAAGGAATCTGCTGCTGGCTAGTGCTGAGACAATGTGAGACACTGGTTGCACCTCTAGGAGAGCAGATATAAGAAATGGGGAGGAAAAAAAACAAAAACACAACACTGTGCAAGAGCAGCCGGCAGAGAGGAGTGAGAGAAAGCCCTGCAGACACCATGGGCAGTGCAGAAGGAGGGCAGGAGATGCTCCAGGCAACAGAGCAAAAGTTCCCCGGTGGCCCATGGAGAGGCCCCTGAATCCACCTGCCCTGGATGGCAGTTGGATCTGGGGAGAGCTGCTGCCAGGTGACCCACATTGGAGCAGTTGGCTCCTGACAGATGGACTCTGTGGTACAGACCCACATTGCTGTGGGAAGCCCACACAGGATCAGTTTGGGAAGGAAGGCATCCCATGGGAGGGACCCCACATTGGAGCAGGGGCAAAGAATGATCATGAAGGCGCAGCAGAGAAGAGGCATTAGGGACTGACTGCAGCCCCTGTTCCCCTGTGCCACTCGGGGGGGAAGAACATAGAAGAGGGTGGATGAGGGAAAGGTGGTTATAGTTTGGTTTTAGTTTCTCACTGTTCTAGTCTGCTAGAGATAAGTTACATTAATCTCCCTATACTTAGTACGTTTGACCCGTGACAATAATTGCTGAGTGATCTCCCTGTCCTTATGTCAACTCTTGAGCCCTTTCCATTGCATTTTCTCCCGTTTTCCTTTGAGAAGGGCAATTGAAAATGCATCCGTGGTGCAGCTCAGCTGTCCACCTGGTCTGGTGAGAGGTGTCCCTGCCCATGGAGGGGACTTGGAATTAGTGATCTCTAGGGTCCTTTCCAACACAAACCATTCTATGATGACTCTCCTTACAGAACCGAGCTTATTAAGACCTTTAAAAAGTTTATTGTTTACAGTCACTGTACTTTCTGACTCTTCAATCATTTCATTTCTTACTTTCATTCTTTAAATTTCTCTCAAGTCTGAGTGATTTCATCACTCACATTTTCCTGTTACTACTGGTTTAATCCTACAATGGCATTAGTGGAAACACAGGAATAAAACAGTTCAAGTCATTCTGAGAGATTTTGGATAATATCAACAGCCGAAATACTGATGCTATGATCAGCTGAGTTGTGCCAGTGTTGAAAAGGACACAAACACGGGAGGGGGGGGGTGGCGTGCAGAGGGGAGGGAATGTAGTGTTCCCATATCTTAAGCACCTCTGCTGAACTTCTAGTAGTCTTTTCATTTTCAAAGTTATATTTCTTCAACTATTCCCAAACCAAAAGATTTTAGTCAGTGCTATCTAGGATAATAACCTAATAAATTATATTTACAGGAGCATAAATCCTCTAGTAAAGACATTTTTGCATCTGCATAAGGGTTCTTTGAACTGTATGATTGATGTTTTATAAGAAAGGATTAAACATATTTTACATAGTTATATGCTATATACATGTCTACAGCTTCTGCCAGTTCAACTTGGGCTTAACTTTGTTTACTGGCATTATATCCCTAATCAACACCATGATACTGGTACAATTTTCCTTATCTAGCCCAGAACAAAGATGCTTGTGACTGTATTATTATATTGATACCGTCACACTAACATTTACTACAAAACAAATGGAAGAAATTCACAGATACTGATAATTCTCCAGTGCATTAACTGTCTAAATACATTAGAAATGCACTACAGTCTAGCAGGGCACCAAACCTTCTGCAATTCTTAGAAGCAAATAGTAAAAACAAAAGCTGGACATTCACCCAAATTAAACAAATCAATCCAACAATATCTATCGCTGTCAGACCAAACTTAAGAACAAACATAGGTAAAGATAGAAATCAACCTCAGACATAGACAACAAAAAGAAAAAAAAAAAAGGAGTTATAATTTGCTGGAAACACTTCTACCTGATAACAGATTTCTCTGTTTTCTCTTCTTTATCAGCCTGGACCAGCTCTTCTACAATCTTGCTGGTTGCATGTCGCGTCTTCAGCCTCACATCCCTCCGCGGTGGTTTGATCTGAAGATTGGAAGGACTACGCCGAATGTGAGGCAATTTCGGCTGCTTCTGAAGAAATAAAGAATGCTCAGTACATTGTACAGATGGTAAAATTTAAACCATAAATCAAAATTATTAATTTTGATATAATGCCAACAGGCAAATTCTGATTTGACTGGAAGGTATGCTGAAGACACCATCTTTTTATTGGTGCTGGATTATTATTATTATTATTATTATTATTATTATTAATTTGTTAATTTAAAAGTTTTGGTTAAATTATCCAAATTTTAAGTTGTAGGGTTTTGTTCTGTTTTTTTTGTTTGTTTGTTTGTTTTTTAGCTGATGAAGAAAAAGTACACTGAACACTTAAAGTTAAAGCCAGGTAATATCTTACCATGTCCAAAGCCCTTCCTGAGATGACAGCATTCCACCCACAGCAGGTTTTTGTTGTAAGTTATAACACCTTTTTCCACAAAATTTATTGGAACTAATCATTATTTGCATCTTCCACAAACTCTTTGGCACATTTACAAAACTCATTTCTTCTCATAATACCTGAGGTGAAAGTTCTGGGTAGTCCCCAGCGTTGGCATCTGCTTTCTGTGGCGCTGGCAGAACAGCTGGATTCACCAGCTTTAATCCAGGTATTTCTGGTTCTGTTCTCTGCTCATCCAATGATTTGTTTGTTAAACCTAAATATACAAAGCTGTTGCTCAGCACAGAGAATGAACATGTCCAGCTAGAAATTTGTAAGTCTGCTGCATTCACACACTAGATGCACCCCCAAAAAGCGTTTCCATTCATCACTGATAAACCTGCACTAATTGTTGGATACCAAGTGTTATTTGGTATTAACCAACTCCTTAATATCAAAGGAGGCTGATGAAAGGCACATACTTTTTTAATTGCTATTATTTTAGCTTCACAACACAGGCAGCAGGATCAAATCAATGGTAAACATGTAAATGGTAAATGTATTGTAGAAAACCTTAGAACTTCAAATCTTATGGACAATCAAAACCAAAAGAGTATCACCTTATCCTACTGCTTAGGTTTGTGTTACTAACAGCCTCTATGTTTTTTCATAACAGATATGTAGATATCTCTAAACCTTGACAAACTAAACCAAAACATTGCTCCAGTCAAGATAACAAAGAGATACAAAAAGTACTTCAGACTAAACATATCCATTGAAACATGTCGCATAAAATCGTTTAACAATTGTGCTTTAAGAGATGCAGTAAGTCAGTCAATAAAAAATGAGTTATAAAAACTACAACAATCTCTTAAAGATAACACCACATGCAGGTAATTTAGAGCCATACAATACACATACTTTTCCATGGTTCCCCCATGCTGGTAAATGAAATGACTCCACAGACTGCCAAGAAGGCAAACAGGAAGAGAATTATACTCCGCTGCAGTCGAGACAGCTGCTTCCATTTCTTTGAGAGAGAAAGGAAGAATATTTAGCACAACATTAAGAGCCCATTCCACTAAAAAAAAAAAAAAAAAAAAAAAAAAAAAAAAAAAAATCAGCTCATTCAGAGCAAGTAATGCAAAACTGACTGTTTAATTTTACCCTGTTTCCAACTGCAAAAATGATGACAGAGAAAAAAAGAAATATAACATGCTAGCATATGGCACAGCAGGCTCAGAGAAATATTAGAGCCACTTGCTGCAAGAACCCTGAAGAATGCCATATGTTGAGAATCCCAGAGAGCATCATCTGCAGCACAGTGACTTTCATCACAGCCTTGGCTGGCTGACCTGTGCATCTGCCCAGATGTCACTTTGGAAACAAGCCAAAAGTCTCTTCCCTTCTTGCTGGAGAGCTACTACAAAACAGATAGCCAAAATAAGAAACAGGGAAAAAAAAGTGGCAGGAAAACTAAAACACTACTGCAGCAAAGAAGAAAGGCTTAAAATAAGCTAAGGACCAGTCGCTGACAGGAAAGTGAGGCATACTGCCCCTAGAAAAATCATCTGTAGAACTGTCATGTAGAACGGGGTCTGTCACCAGAAAAAAAAGTAACCAAACTATAGCAACATATAAAAAAGTAAACAACAGTTTAATAAGCAAAACAAAAACACATTTTCAAGATTAGTTTTAGGCAAAAACGTGTTTATAAAATTGAAGTACTTACAACAAAATTACTAAATCAGACCTGAAATGACATGTTAGTCTAACAGAGAAGTTTTCCCCATTTAGAGAGAGCAGTTAAACATCAATTGTTAAATTACCATTCTGTTGCTTTTAAAACAGTCATAGCAAAATGCACTAAAGCAGGAATTTGCTTCTAATTACTGGCTTTGGCACACAGAGAGGGAGCTTCATTGCTGATGCCATGCTTGGGAACACCCTACAGCTTCCTACGAACTTCTCTACACCCCACAGTACTTCCTGGAGTTCTCATCCTCTTAGTAAGCCAGAGGCTGCAAATATTTCAAGGAAGAAAATGTCAAAGCATTCACATTGCCAAGCTCCAAGATAGACGTTTCCTGTTTCTCTACTGTTGACAGTACAGTAACCCTGTGCATCCTTCTATAAGCATGCTGCAACATGCTGGTCCTGCTCCTTCACCTTCATCTCTACCTGCACTGTCAACCACATCACAGTCATCCAATTGCAAAAGGATTCTTGAAATCCAGCAGCCCTTTATGTCCTCAGGACAGGATGAGAAAAGAGGCACTGACTGTGTGTTCTTGGGGTGGAGAGGAGTGAGGCACAAGAATACATGAGGGCATTCAGCATTTTCCTTTTTCTTGCTGGCAAAGAAGATAGATAAAAGGAAAGATGAAATATCTTGTGCTCTGTCCCTGCATTTCCTTAACCGTAAATAAGAGAAGACCTGTAGTCCTGTGTCCCTAAACAAGTTCTTCATAAGCTTCCTCCAACAATCTGTAAAGTCTTCTAAATTTGGCTTAACTTCACTCCCTATCTGCAACCACAGTCACCTCATCCCACTGCCTCACATTTTCCCAGGTTACCTCTCCAGCAGAAGACGCTCACCCCTACTAAATCTGCCTGCCCACTCCCTGTCCCAGTCAGACAATAAGGTCACTTCCACACAGCTCTGCCAGGAATGTCTCTTCTCACACTCAGCCTTCCCACAAAAGCGGAACCGTTCAACTGAGAAGCTGCAACAGCGAACAGCGCTGACCCTTCGAGCCGTAAAACAGGGTGCAAAGGCACCCAAACCAAATCTCATCTCCCTCTTCCAATCCTGATTAGAGTCTGGGGGGAGGCGTCTCTGCCCGTGCCAGGGGTTGGAACTGGGTGGGCTCGGAGATCCCTCCCAACGCGAACCATCCTGCGACTCCGTGGATGCAGCCCAGCGCTCCCGATCCCGTCAGGGCACCCTCGCTGCCCGGACTTTCCGCGCAGGCAGAGGCCCGAGCCCCCCCAGCCGGGGGCACCCCGCGGGCAGAGCCCGCGTCCCGCCCGGCCGCCCTCACCCGCCAGCAGGAGCGCCGCCTCCAGGCCTTGCTGTTGTTGTAGCCTCCGACCCCCACCGCCTCCTCCGGGCTGAGGGTGACAGAGATGAAGTCCCGCCTGGGCGGCGAGGCGGCGACAGCCGAGTACATGGCCGCAGCCGCCTCAGGGGCCGCAGCCGCCTCAGGGGCCGCAGCCCAGCCGCCCGCCGCCCCGCGCGCGGCCCGCCATTACCCTGCAGCCTCCTCGCACCGAGAGGGGACAGAGCGGCCGCTTCCGGATGCCGCTCTAGGCCCACAGCACTTCCGGAGCTCTATGGCGGCCCTAGCAACAGCGCCGCCGTGCCCTAGCAACCGCGGCCCGGGCCGCCGGGCCCCGTCAGCGCCCCTGGGCGGGGCCAGGCCCTGCCGCCGCTGAGCGCCCCGCGGAGGGCGTCAGAAGCCGGCGCGGGCGGCTGGGCGCTGGGCGGCCGGGGCAGCTGCCCGTGGCTCTTCGCAAGAGTCAGGTCGGCCCCCGCAGCGCTCCCCTCGCACCGCGCCGGCCCCTCAGGGGGAGACACGCACTGGGTGCCAGGCCGCACGGAGCGGGCTTGTTCTGAAGTAGAAAAAACTGGAGCAGGAGCAGCAGTGACACAGAATCCAGCGAGCACGCCAAGGGGGGGAAGGTTATATTCTGCTGTCCACTGTCACAGTGACATCTGTTTTGTGCAATGTCCCCAGCCATCCTGACATGGCCAGTTCTTGGACACGGCCAGTTCTTGGACATGGCAAGTTCTTTTGGGCAGAGTCAGTGGAGTTTTAGGGCTGCAAGAATTTCTTTCCTTCCTTTCCCTTGTTAGCCCTCATTTTCTAGGTGCACACCACATAGTCAGACTCCATCTTCAACTGTCTGGTCAGGGAGTGAGATGCAGAGATGCTGAGAGCCCCCACGTTTCCTTCACAGTGTGGGATTAGCACAAAGATAAGTCACATGATACCATGATTGGCATGAAAGAAACATAAATGGAAATGTATATGTGGGAGGTAATCAGGAAAAAAAAATAATTGAAAGAATGTATTCCCACTAGTCAAGTTCAGGAAGGTGCATCTCCCGTCCAGCCTGGAAAACTGTGCTCTGTTAAGGGTGCAGCACAAACCACACAGGACTGTATCCTGGCTGGAGGACATCAGCAAGGCAGCAAAGCTGCACACCACCCTTGCTCCTCCAGCCAGCCCACCAGGCAAAGCAAACTCCAAGCCCCTGTTGACTCACAGAAGATAGAGAAGAGCTGTCTAAAGCATCCCTCATCCTCTGCATCACACCCGGTGCTGGGTGGATAATCATCATAATGCTGGCCTGACAGCACACAGGTGTGAACATGCATGAACAAAATTGTGAGAGAATGAGTGTGAGTAAGGAAAAGTAAATGTAAGTTTTGTAAATAAATCCTTTCAGAAGATTTGGCACTGAATTTTGGTACACAGCAGGATTCACACAATTCCCTTACCTGCTTCTCCACAGACCCACTGCGATCTGTCCCACTCTGCACAAATAGTTGTCAGCATCTTCATTAGAGAGGATGGTCATTATCAATGGGTGTAGAGGAGTAGGGAAGAATACCATATATTATACAAATTTAGAGCCGTAATGACTGCATTTTTGTATTATCCATTGCTATCTCCTACATCTGAGAACCAGATTACTTCTATATCAGGTTCACAGTCAAACAGAAAAAAATTATTGAAGCAGCCATGGATACTACTTTAACTGCTGGCCCTGAGCATCTGTGCCTAACTATTCAATTAACATGCATCATATGAGCCTTTAAATTTGGAATCTGCCTCTGGTTTATCCTCCAGATAAAGATGAGAAGTGGGTGGACTTTTCACAATAAAAAAATATAATAATAAATAAAGCAACTAAGCAAATTGTTCTTGGAGATTTGAACACTCTGCACAAACAAGCAGAGAAACAATTTAACAGAAGCCTGAAGCATGCACTCATTTTTTACTAATCATTTTCTTATCACAGGAAACGACAAATTCATGTAGCTTAAAAGTGCATTAAAAATTCCAGCAACCCTTGTATGGGTGCCAAGAGAGAAATATGGGATGAAATAGGTAAGGAAAGAAAATCTGATTTTGACCCTTACTGGGTTTAGCACTAAACCCCCGAAAGAGAGGACAATCTGTCATTTGTGGAAAAATTAATATCTTCCCCTACTGTTCTACAAATAGACCCGTTTAAAATATGCCAGTTAATTGGAAGCCAAGCAGAAATACCACCACAGTCGGTGCTTAGCACACCTCATTACCTACACAATAGATGTGAAAGCCTGCCTCAGAACCAGAGCGCTCTAGTCGACTTTAAATAAAAGAAAAATGCACACCATCCACAATTAAGGAGGACAAATTGAGTTGCTGAACTTGAAGAAAAAACAAACAAACAAAAAAAAAAAAAAAAAAAAAAAAAACACACGCAACACAGAATTGCAGGGGAGGAAACAGTGTTCTGCTTACTTTCTGATGGAAAAACATATCCCACAATGTCAAATCCCCTCAGGTATTACATGTTGCTGGGTTCTATGTCATCCTGTAAATATATTATGGGCACTGCAGCCTCCAGTCACACTACCAGTGGCACAGTGTAAGTGTCCAGCAGCTGTGGTGACAACACCCATGATGTGTAGGGACAAAGACAACAAGTGTATTCTCCTTACAAACAAGGATGACAGACACAGAAATCACAGTAACATCTTTATTATAGAAAAGCTTAGGTCTCCAAAAGTTTCTGGACCACTATGGGATCCACCTCTATTTCAGATATATATTTTTTCATTTCACAATGAATATGAGATATATTTTTTTTAAAGTTCCCACAAGAATCTTTTAATGTTCCAGTTTAAAACATGAAGAGTCATAGAAAAAACAAACAAACAAACAAGAAGGTATTCATCACACTAATTCAGTTTCACCTTGAAAACCATCTCTAAAAATCATGTCAGCAGTTCAGTGTTCACATGATTTAAGCACACAGAAAATGGGCTATAATTGAGTTTCAAAAGAGAACGCATTTTATAAAGAGAAAGCATTTTATAAATGAAAAAATATATGTATTATTTCTTTATAGTACTGTGAAACTTAAAGCAACCTGTGCCTGAATTGGTAAGCAATATTTGCAAGAATATCATGTAATTACTTCTCAGATGTAAAAATTGATAGACAGGAATGAAAATGACCCATAGAAAATTGTGCAATAAAAATTACAGAATTGAGCAAAGACGAATGCTTAATTTATACTAAAAATCAGTTATTGGTTGTACATGCAAAATGAGGTAATCAGAACTGCAATAAGCTGGTTTGCACATGCAAAAGACTAATTACTTATGCATATGTAGATACACTTTATATCTTTAAATTCTGCCATTGACATTTAAACGGTTTCTTTAGAAAACATGAGGCTACTTATATAAATTGTACTTAGTCTCAAAGCTATTTTAATACTTCTCCAACATTCTGAATACAGCTTCATATGAGGAATTTCAGAAAATCACTTATGTAAAAGATTAATGCTTAATATCAGCATCAGCCATTGCTTAGTAGAAGCAGATCCTGAGACCTGGTATTTCAGATGATGCCTCATCTGAAATGTTTTATCTTCCTCATCACCTTCCTTATACCCGATTTGGGTGAAAAGTATAGCATGCTCCTCAATCCAATTCCAACTCAGCAGAGCACACAAAGAGTCCTCGTGAAGTGTGAAATGACTTTGGTGTGTTCAGTGAAGGTTCTGTTGTAGGCAGCTGCCCACATGGCACAGGTCTGCTGGAGCTAAACAGGAGCTGTGTATCATGGTCACCCTGGAAGCCCTCAGCCAAGGCTGAGTTCATGTGCTACATGTGTTCTGACAATTATTGTCCTTAATTAGCTGACAATTATCTTCACATTATAGTTAATAATATATTTTTAAAGAAAGGCATTTTTCTGCTTTTGGTTACACCTCAAATTCTAACATCACAGCATGTTCCTCCTATTACTTTCAGCCACTTTAAAAGAGTTCCCCTTTGAGGGTTAGGATATACATTAAACAAAAAAATGGAAAGCAAAATAAATGTTTGCCATAAAACAGGAAGAGTAGAAGGTTATTATGAAAACAGTTCTCAGCCTTTGCCCCACCTCCAACCCCTCAAAAATAGTAATAATAAAAACACTGTTCACTACAGCCATAAAGAGTAAAGAGTATGCAGCCTGAGCTGCATATTTAGTTATGTTTTCTTGGAATACCACTACTGAGCCTACATATGCAAAATAGCCTGTTCTGCTGCTGAGGCCAAATCTCAAGCAAAACTTACACATAAAAGGATCCCTACCTACAGCAGACTCCTCTGCATAACCCAATTAGAGGATGTACTGAACTTGGTCTACTAACCAGCACAATATTAGAGACGGAGGACCCAGTACACAAAGTCATACCATACTTTTCAGGGTGGGACATCATACTGATTTTTCTTCAGCTGTGCACACAGTAGAAAAGAAAAAAATAAGCAACGATAACAAAAAAATGGAACAAAGATACAAATAAGATATATAGCAAGGCACTGCAGAGATTTAATCTTCTTGAATGCAAAGCTGATTGATTTGTTTCTGATTTACTCTGTTACATATCTGTATGCATGACAAATAAGAAATATAAAATCAATTTGGTACCTGGAAGGTATTAATCTCCATTCACATCAGTCTATGATACAGACCAAAGTAAAAGGCATAGCCTTCAGTTACCAAACAGAACTGGTACATATGCATATCTGTGTAAACACAACTGCTGCAAGCATTTGCCAACTATCTGATACTATAGAGCAATTTTTCATAATACATAATACACTTCACAACTGACATTTTAGCAGTGTCATTTCTTTCAATGGCTCTAACAGACATGATTTGAGAAGTCCTCCCTCCTTTTCAAGAATTTCCTAGCATTTCTGCTTTGTTTTCATCGAGTATAAAGGGAGAACAGAAGTCTTTGTTCTTCATGCACGCCTCCAGACCCTGAGAATGTGTGAAAACAGTAAAGTTAGGTTATAAATGGATCACACTTGTTATCTGTACTATTTTTAAGTCTCCATAATGTTCTCAAAGAATGACTGACTACTCAAGGTTAAAAGGCCACTGGAAGGACAGACAACAGCAACCGTCTCCCCAGTGACAGAGATGGCAAGTACTTTAGCCACATGACCACAGTTCATGAAGGAGAAGCATGGATGAACTATAAAACAATGGATCTCTGGAACAAACCTTCCTAGAGAGGGTGAAGCATGGAGCAGAGTGTTCTTACCTCCTATTAGAACAATCCTAGCAAAGAAAAGTCAACTTAAATTGTCTTAGGTTTTGAAAGTCTCCAGAGACGGAGACTCCAGAGCCCCCTGGGCAGCCTGTTCCAGTGCTCTGTCACCCTTACCATAAAAAAGTTTTGTTTCATATTTAAGTGGAATCTCCTGTGTTCCAGCTTGCACCCATTGCCCCTTATCCTAACACTGGATGTCACCGAGAAGAGCCTGGCTCCATCCTCCTGACACTCACCCTTTACGTATTTATAAACATTAATAAGGTCACCCCTCAGTCTTCTCCAAGCTAAAGAGATCCAGCTCCCTCAGCCTTTCCTCATAAGGGAGATGTTCCCCTCCCTTAATCATCCTTGTGGCACTGTGCTGGACTCTCTCAAGCAGTTCCCTGTCCTTCTTGAACTGAGGGGTCCAGAACTGGACACAATATTCTAGATGTGGTCTCACCAGGGCAGAGGAGAGGGGGAGGAGAACCTCTCTTGACCTAATAACCACAGCCCTTCTGATACACCCCAGGATGTCACAGGCCTTCTTGGCCACAAGGGCACAGTGCTGGCTCATGGTCATCTGGCTGTCCACCAGGACCCCCAGGTCCCTCTCCCCTTCACTGCTCTCCAGCAGGGCAGTCCCCAACTTACCCTGGTGTCTGGGGTTGTTCTTGCCCAGATGCAGGACTATACATTTGCCCTCGTTATATTTCATTAAGTTTCTCCCCGCCTAATTCTCCAACCAGTCAAGGTCCCTCTGGATGGCAGCACAGGTTTCTGGCATGTCAGCCACTCCTCCCAGTTTAGTGTTACCAGCAAATTTGCTGATGGCACACTCCATTCCCTCATCCAAGTCATTGATGAATATATTAAACCACACTGCTCCCAGTACCAACCCTTGAGGGACTCCATTAGATACAGGATTAGATACTCCAACTTGACTCCATACCATTAACCACAACCCTCTGGCTTCTTCCCTAGTGGAGATGTAAACCTCTGTGTATACTCTTCCCCAGAGCACACATAACCTTCTGCAATCTACTCGTTCTCACCCTGTTTCTCCAACATATAAAGGCTCCTTCCCTCATTACTAAATGGAATTAGCTTTCTCAGAACCAATCGTTTACTGAGGGATGAACCTCATAAATGTGTTCTAAGATGCATTTCCTCTAAAGACAATGCAAATATACTCTCAGTGTTCACTCACTGTGGAAGTGATTAGTATGCACAAGATTAGTATGCACAGATTAGTATGCAACTGTATACAGTGACCCCATGGATTTGGTAATTTGAATATTCTGCACTTTTCATTCAGAGGATCTCAAAGTACTCGTGAGTCCTCATGAAATTGCACAGACTCATTACAAATCTCATTATACAGATAGCTAAACTTGTGATAAATGAAGACTGAACAACCTGCTGAAGAATAAGCCACAGAGGGAACCACAAATATAACACAGAGTCTAAGTCCTAGCTCCCTCAATCTTATCATTTCTCAGCAAGCACAGGCTAAAGAAATCCAATTTCTGTATAGAAATCAGATGCATTCCTGCACAGTCTTAAAAATACCTCCATAGATAATTATTCTCACCTCTCCAAAGTAAGACACTAATGGAGAAATCTCACACACAGCTGGAGGATCTTCAGTTCCTGAGAGACTGAAGAAGAGAACACAGGATTAACTTCTTGCTATGCTTACAAAGCAGTGTGTCATCTTTGAAAGTCTGTCAGGAATAAGACATCCAGAAGGGTAAGACATTTGTTATATTCACATACATCAGACATCACTTGAACACAATCACTGAAAATAAAAGGGAGTCAGCAGGTCCCAACTATTTCTCATCAAAACAATTACATGACTTTTAAAGAGGTGCTTTTCAAATACAATGAACAGCTTGTGGGTTTATTTAACTTTGAGTTGATGAATTAAGAGTCCCAAGAATGGAAAGCTGCTTTTACTTCAGTGTGATGCAGGAAGTATTTAAACTGGTAGTTGCTATAATAGCCAATACTCATGTCCACCCGAGATTCTAGATGGGCTTTAAATACTAGGATCATATTCAGAAAAGCTGGGGAGGACTACAAATTACAATTCCTTGGGCTGGCTAAATCCTGAATGATATAAAAGGTTGCCTCTACCTAAGGCAATTGTCTCACTCTGTGTTGCTATACGAGGAGTCAACTATCTCCAAGGCAGGAAATTCAGCCAGACTTAAAGCAAAGCTTACTGGCCATTACTGACTAGAGTACTTACAATCACTAATGGAGTAGTAGCTGTTACAGATAATACTTGGCATGTTCAGAAAAGGCCAGCTGAACAGAACTCATGCCAAGTCATCATGTGATCCGGCAAACACCCAATTTTAGAATGAAGTGTACATGCCATTACCGAGCTTTCAAGTTTGGGCAGTCACATGCAAAGAAGTTGCAGAGAAGGTCACAAAGATGCACACCTGAGTTTCTCTGGTATTCTGCAACCATTTTCATCCAGAAATCTGGCCCCAGCCTTCAAAGCCCAGCGGTAATGCTGGGCCAGGAGGGATTGCCGAGCAGTAGTAGGAGTGTCTTTGTCAGCTGTGTCTGCATTTTTTAATGGTGAGAATTCCTCTTCTCTCAAAACTTCAAATGCCACAAAATTCCTGCAAGCAAAGGGGAGAAAACAATGAAAAACAAAGTTAGCCATCAACCCTGATAGCAGAAAAGATGCAAAAACAACTTTCAAGGCAAAGAGTTCATACATATTTTAGGGAGCATTGATGTATGCAGCCTGGGGCAAAGTCAAACTAAGGAAAGCCCACCTCCCATCTGAAGAACAAAGAATACCAGGACTTTATGACAGAAAAACAGAATAGAATTATAGAATCACAGAATCATTTAGGTTGGAAAAGACCACTAAGATCATCAAGTCCAACCATTAACCTAGCACTGCCATGTCTACCACTAAACCATGTCTTTAAACACCACATACACACATCTTTTGAATACCTCCAAGGATGGTGACTTAACTAACTTCTCTGGGCAGCCTGTTGCAATGCTGCACAATCCTTTCAGTGAATAATTTTTTCCTAATATCCGACATAAACCTCCCCTGGTGCAACTTGAGGCTATTTCCTCTCGTCCTATCACTTGTTGCTTTGGAGAAGAGACCAACCCCCCCACCTCCACTGAGGTAGCTGTAGAGAGTGGTAAGGTCTCCCCTGAGCCTTCTTTTCTCCATGTTAAACAATACCCCCAGGTCCCTCTTCCCTCAGCCTGTAGCATTGCATGGGGTTGTTGTACCCACCAGTGCAGGACCCGACACTTGGCCTAGTTGACCTTCATACAGTTGGCCTTGGCCCATTGGTCCAGCCTATCCAGATCCCTCTGCAGAGCCTTCCTGCCCTCAAGTAGGTCAACACTCACAGCCCAGTTTAGTGTCAACTGCAAACTTCCTGAGGGTGAACTCAAACCCCTCATCCAGATCATTGATAAAGATATTGAAGAGAACTGACTTCAATACGGAGCCATGGGAGATACCACTTGTGACCAGCCTCCAACTGGATTTAACACCATTCACTCTTTGGGCCTAGCCATACAGCCAATTTTTTTATCCAGGAAAGCGTACATTCATTCAAGCCATGAGCAGCCAGCTTCTCCAGGAGAATGTTTTGAGAAACGCTGTTGAAAGCTTTGCTAAAGTCTAGGTTGACCACATACAGAGCCTTTCCCTCATCCACTAAGCAGGTCACCTTGTACCAGAAGGAGATCAGGTTCGTTAAGCTTTTCATAAACTGAGGTGCCCAATCTCTTTCCTCATGACCCTCAAGGACTGTGCAGATGTAGGAGGAAAAACAAAACTTCTCCACAGATCCCTCAGAAACTTCTCCAGGCACTAGAGACATGTGGACAAAAAGTCTCAGCTAAGAGCACAGCAGGATGGAAACAACAGCAACACCTGAAGCTCTGATACATGGCAGAGCTGTGCTGCTCACTACAGAGCACATCACCCCTGCTTAAAGAAATGGTCACTGAACTTGAGTCTGTGGGCAAGGATAAACTGAGGACACCAGTTTCCAGGTATGAATAAGCAATAAGGGAAGACTTACGGTCAATGTTAAGTACAGTTGTTTATCAGAAAAAGGAACTCAAATAAGATACCATCCTCTGCACATTTCTGCACTTCACACGTGAAGAGCATCTGCCAAGCAATTTTTGCATTATTTTTACAAAGTACAGGAAATCACTGCTTGCATATGAGCTCTTTTGAAACCCAGAACTCTGCACTATTTCCAATACGCTGTCTTTGCCTTTCATATATTTCATTACTATGTCAGGAAATGGAGACCATGGTTCAAAACTTCAGTTCTTTTTCCTAAAGTAAATCCTCTAAAAACAAAAATGCAATCCCCAAACAAGATATTTCAGTTTGCTTGAGATCTCTTTTTGCCATCCATTTAAGCCTAGAAGAAAATCTTTACAGATGAATTCTAGGCCTTCAAAAATAGTATTTATAAATTTCTGGTGGATTTCTAAATTATTAAAATCCCACATTCCATGAACTCAAAGCTCCTGTGTTAATGCTGTAGCACAGCTATCTCTACTATGTTTCAGAGTTTGGCAAGCCAACATCTACAGTTCCTACAGCAACAGTAACTTAGCCCCAAGGTGCTTAAGCAACCTGTTTTCTGAACGGAAAGGGCACAAACTAAGCTCTTGTTTAATATGCACCTAAATGTAACAAGAGTTGCAGTTGTCATGGAAGTCACAATTGCATAGAGCCTGATTTCTTAGATTCTGAATACTTTAACTTGCATTTATATTAAATGCTGGTTTTGCACAAGATTTCCTTTTCTTTCTTCCTTCCTTCCTTTCTTTCTTTCTCCTTCTCTCTCTCTCTCTTCCTTTCATATGGCTATTAGAGGCTGGGCCAATCAAACCATCCTCCACAGAACAAAAGGTTCCCAGACTGGTCAGAGAAAGCCCAGCTGCTGCCAAGGACTCTGTGAATGCACCCTTCAGAGCCTGCGAAGTTACTGTCATGGTAGATCCAATCGTCTTTTTAACAAGTCACCCACAAACCACACACTATGTCAAAGTCTTTTACAACTTGCAGTCATCCAAACAAACAGTGAGAGGGGAAAAAATATTCATGTCTGCCACTAACTTAGAGAACTGGAACACATCAAACACAAACTTCTCCAGCTTTATCCCATTTGGTTTTATCGGTTTTACCAGATTTCCCTCCTCGTCAATGTAAGGCACCTTCTTTATGGCTATGTGATGCTTCAGCTGGGGCTCATATTTTCTGCAAAAAAGGAGGACAAACAAGATCATTTACTTCTTGCCCACTTTGAGAAAAGAAGTACACTTCTGGGAAGCACGCTGCTTATTATATGTATAATAATAATAATATATATTACATGATTCTAGGTCATATCTCAACTGTTGTGGGTTGTGACATAAAATCACATCCAGGAAACACTTCACTGAGCAAAGCAGCCCAGACACCTGCATGGCAGGGAGCAGCAGCACTCCTGCACAATGTGACATAATAGGGTAAAGGAAAAAGTGAGGGAGGACCTAGCATCCAGCTGCAATCAGAAGCAGAGGAGAAAAAAGAAAAAAAAAAGAGAAAAAAAAAAGTAACCTAAACTGTTAGATCACACAGAATCACACAGAATTATCTAAGTTGGAAGAGACCTCAAGATCATCGAGTCCAACTTTTGACCTAAAACTAACAAGTCCTCCACTAAACCATATCACTAAGCTCTACATCTAAACGTCTCTTAAAGACTCCACCACTTCCCTGGGCAGCCCATTCCAATGCCTCACAACCCTCTCGGTAAAGAAGTTCTTCCTAACATCCAACCTAAAACACCCCTGGCGCAGCTTTAGCCTGTTCCCCCTTGTCCTCTCACCAGGCACGTGGGAGAACAGACCAACCCCCACCTCACTATAGCCTCCTTTAATGTATCGTAAAGAGTGATAAGGTCGCCCCTGAGCCTCCTCTTCTCCAGGCTGAACAAACCCAGCTCCCTCAGACGCTCCTCGTAGGACTTGTTCTCCAGACCAGCTTCATCGCCCTTCTCTGGACTCGCTCGAGCACCTCCATGTCCTTCTTGTAGCGAGGGGCCCAAAACTGAACACAGTACTCGAGGTGCGGCCTCACCAGAGCCAAGTACAGGGGGACAATCACCTCCCTAGCCCTGCTGGTCACACTGTTTCTTATGCAAGCCAGGATGCTGTTGGCCTTCTTGGCCACCTGAGCACACTGCTGGCTCATATTCAGCCGACTATCAACCATCACTCCCAGGTCCTTCTCTGCCTGGCAGCTCTCCAACCACTCCTCTCCCAGCCTGTAGCTCTGCTTGGGGTTGTTGTGCACTTGGCCTTGTTGAACTTCATGCAGTTGACCTCAGCCCATCGGTGCAGCCCATCCAGATCCTCCTGCAGAGCCTTCCTACCCTCAAGCAGATCGACACACGCACCTAACTTGGTGTCATCTGCAAACTTACTGAGGGTGCACTCGATCCCCTCATCCAGATCATCGATAAAGATATTAAAGAGGACCGGCCCCAGCACCGAGCCCTGGGGAACGCCACTAGTGACCAGCCTCCAGCTGGATTTGACTCCATTTACCACGACTCTTTGGGCCCGGCTATCCAGCCAGTTTTTAACCCAATGAAGTATGCACCAGTCCAAGCCAAGAGCAGCCAGTTTCTTGAGGAGAATGCTGTGGGAAATGGTGTCAAAAGCCTTACTGGAGTCAAGGTAGACCACATCCACAGCCTTTCCCTCATCCACCAAGCACGTCACTTTGTCATAGAAGGAGATCAGGTTTGTCAAGCAGGACCTGCCTTTCATAAACCCATGCTGACTGGGCCTGATCACCTGGTTGCCCTATAAGTGCCGCGTGATGACTCTCAAGATAATCTGCACCATGAGCTTCCCTGGCACTGAGGTCAAACTGACAGGCCTATAGTTCCCCGGGTCTGCCCTCCGGCCCTTCTTGTAGACGGGCGTCACGTTTGCTAGCCACTTTACTAGTCGACTGGGACCTCCCCCAATAGCCAGGACTGTTGATATATGATGGTAAGAGGCTTGGCCAGCTCCTCCGCCAGTTCTCTGTCCTTGGGTGGATCCCATCCAGCCCCATTGACTTGCGTATATCCAAGTGCCGTAGCAGGTCGCCAACCATTTCTTCATGGATAGTGAGGGCCACATTCTGCTCCCAATCCCCTTCCACCAGTTCAGGGTACTGGGTATCCAGAGAGCAACTGTTTTTGCCGCTAAAGACTGAGGCAAAGAAGACATTAAGCACCTCCACCTTTTCCTCATCTTTAGTAACTCATTTCCCCCCGCATCCTGTAAATTCTCCTTAGTCCTCTATTTTGCATTAATGTATTTGTAAAAACATTTTTTGTTGTCTTTGATGGCAGTAGCCAGATTGAGCTCCAGATGAGCTTTGGCCTTTCTAATTATGTCCCTACACTGCCTCGCAACATCTTTATAGTCCTCCCAAGTGGCCGCCCTCTTTTCTAAAGATTGTAAACCCTCTTTTTCCTGCTAAGCTTAAGCCACAATTCTCTGTTCAGCCAGGCCAGTCTTCTTCCACTCCGGCTCGTCTTTGGGCACGTGGCGACAGACCGCTCCTGTGCCATTAAGATTTCCTTCTTGAAGAACGCCCAGCCTTCCTGGACTCCTCTGCCCTTCAGACCCACCTCCCAAGGGATTCTACCAATCAGTGTCCTGAACAGTTCAAAGTCAGCCCTCCGAAAGTCCAATACAGCAGTTTTACTGGTCCCCTTCCTGGTTTCTCCAAGAATGGAGAACTCTACCATTTCATGGGTAAGTGATGGCCAAGTTGAAAATGGAGCAGAGCAGATCTCTCACACAAAGTTAGATCAAGCTCTTCAGGAATAATATCTGGCTCAGGACTAGACAAAAAATTAAGCTAGATCCCCCATAGCTATCTCCACGCCTTTAGACTTCATCAGTATCATATCCTCCCACAGAGACAGTATCCCCAGCCTTTCCTGGGTCAGTATCATATCTAAGGGAAGAGAGCTGCATGCTGAACACTCAGTATCATGCCTCCCTCTCCCGACTCCAAGCAGAATCTTCCTCCATTTACACTAACTCCCCCAACCTGTTGTCCCAAGGGACAGCATTGGTAACATTCCTATTGAAAACCCTCAACACTGGTTGACCACACCACAGCTCACATGCCTGCTCATCTCAGCAGGCCCAGAAAGGCCTTGCACTGGTTTATCTCCATAGATTTAGTTACAGCAAAGTATGCAGCCTCTCCATTACGTAAAGCCTAAAGAGCATGTTGGAGTGGTCAAAAGTGGACATGGTTGTTTTAAACTCTTTTGAGAAGAAAGCAGGTACCCATAACTATAATTACAAAGTGGGAAATGGGAACATCCATTCTTGGAAGCATTTCTGGGATGCACAGCTGCCTGGTAGTTCTGCTGGAACTTACTGGGCCACCATCTGCAGAAATTCAACAGTGAAGAAATGGTTGCAGATATTGCCAGTGCTGTACACCAGCCCCCCATTAGGGCTTTGCAGCTGCGCAGTCTCTGGACTGATCTCACTGTACTCCACCACCTGATAGACCCCATCCACACGACACACCACCCCAACAGGCTCTGTGGGGTAGGCCTTCTCCACCACCTGCAGACACAGGACAGAGGACTATGACAAGAAGAAAGAAAAAAATTGCAATATTTCAACTCCCCCTGGCACATTATCAAATTATCTTACTATACGCTACTGCACGCTGATTCTTTAATGCTACAAGAACACAGGCAAGACAGCGCTGAGTATACAAAGAAGCCTGGAGGCATATTTTTTTCCAACAATCTGGCATAAAAAACAGTACATGACAACTTAAATTGCAGTTACTCAGAAGACAAACCACAGTTAGAAGAAATCAGAATACTGTGGGGACACTTTTCTTATCAACTTTTAACTGGGACCTGGCATTAAATGAAGAATGTTTACAGCTATTAACCTTCAGCTCCCTGCCTGCATTAACAGTGTTCACGATTAAAGCAATACTAATCTGTCCTCATAAACATCAAGCACCTGCTCTTTTGGAGTCACAAAACCAGGCTCTTTCAACTTTACCTGTCCTCCGCAATGGGATGTAAGGAATGCCTTGACTAGACTTAAAGGTGTACATGTATTTATAAAGCACATCACAGTCTAATAAAGCTTCTTGATATCTCAGGTGCCTTTATAGAAAGGGCACACATACAAGGGAATTGATTCCAGTTTGTAGTTTCCTGTGCAATTACAGTCTCTGCTTTAATCTAAGTTTATTTTCCACTGTATTCTGGGAAGAGGTCCTAGAAGTACACCCCCAGGAAGTATACTCTGAATACAAAATGGGCAGCAAGCAGCTCCCCCTTGCATTTTCAGAATGCCACATCTAAATCTGCTTCAAGTGACCTGTCATTGGACAGAGATCTGAACACTCCAGTACCTCCAAGCTTACCCTAACCAGTACCTTCCAGGGTAATCAGATCTTAACTCCCTGTGGGGAAATGGCCCAGCATTAGCACCACCTCACCTTGGCACCGCAATCTGCCCCTTTGGTAACACAGAAGCCTATGAAGACTGGATCTGCCATCTTGACGAGGATGTTGTCTACACAGTATACGTGAACATACTGTATACCACGCTGCTTCATGTCATCCAAGATCTTATTATCCACCAAAGCACGATATAAGCCACCATTGCCATCTATAATGCAAGAGAAAAGAAGAGGCCCTGGTTAATTAGTGACTCTGCAGGGTTCTTATTGCAATTAACAAAACAAAAGGTACAAGTCCTGAACAAATTTTGTTTAACAGCAGAGCAGGGAATGTTTTCTAGCCAAGAATCCAGTGCCACTGGATTTTATTTCCAGCTCTGCCACCAACTCAGTTCAGGCAAGGCCTGAACTTTCACACCCTAGTGTGAAACCTTGCAAAGTAGGACTGGGTACCAACCTCACAGAGAAGTATTATAAGACTTTGAAGTGTTGTAAGATCCTCAGAGGAAAAACACTAATGGGGAAAACAGTGTGGCAAAAGAGGGTGGTAAAAGACTGTTATATTTCTTCTCTTCTAGTGCAGAGCAAAAGCACATTTAAAACCCAGTCTGTAGAAAAACACTAAGGACAGTCTTATCCTCTGCATATTCCTGTCCCTAAAAGTATCCAATGACTTTCTAAAGGCTTAAACTCCATCTGCACATTTATTTGTTCACCACAGATCACCATTTCATGGTTACTCCTTTGACACTCCAGTTAGCTCAGGAGAACCATTCTGCAGCCACAAAAAAACAAATTACTGCAACATAGCCTTGAATGGGCTGCCTTGACTGAGTCTCTTGCTATGTTCAGGTTAAGAGAAGTGAAGATGTGAGACATTTCAATCTTTTTGGAAAGAGTTAATCTTCCTGCTCCTTGTTGCTTTTTTCCCCATTTCCAGCTATCAGCCTTGAAAGGGGGAGCCTTCAGCTAGGTGAGCTTTCTCCCCAGCCTGAGAGAATCACTGCTGATTCCTGAGCAAACACTAACTCAGAGCTGGCACAGTGCATGGCAATGAGCACACAAAGCTCTCCTGACAGCTTCACCCTGGGAGGCAGCAGTCCAGGGGCTGTGATCCTGGAGACTCATCCCTAGCTTATACACAGCCCTACCCATGCACATGCGCACTGTTCCAAACCTGCAGCTACCCCACCCCTTCTAATCCTGCAAAAATTCCCAGGCTTTGATTAAAAAAAAAAAAAAAAAGGCCTGATTGGAACCAGAGTCTGTTCTCCAGCAATAACTAAACAGAGGTTGCTGAACCCTCCCATGTTAATTAGAAGCATTGACATTGACTTCCAAATACTGCTCTTGTGTGCCAAGGCCATTTGACAGTAATTTTCAACACATTACTGTACCAAATAAGGGCAAACAGCAGGGTACCTGGAGCCATAGCAATTTTCCCCTTCTCTTCCAAGATGGCCTTCCCATCAAAGGTAACAGCTGGCAGCATCCTCTGTTCAAACATGATCACATTGGATTTATCCAGGTTGAAGAAGCCATGGTCTACAAAGAACTCTTCTGTCGGCCCCAGTGTGAACTCACTAGTCATGATATACCTGGGTAGGAACAAGTGTAGAGCAAGGAAGAAGAAAAAGAAAAAAAAACTACAGATGGGACAGAGAAGGAAAGAAACCTTAGAGCATTAAATGAATGACAATACAGTAACTTATGGTATGTAGCTGATTAGTAGAGATCTCCTTGAAAGCTCACCCTGCAGTAAGGCTGTACAAAGTCTCATGAGCAATCCTTACCCACAGGTTTAGCTCCAGGTAAGACAGAAAAGCCTTTCCCTAAATACGAATAACATCTGGATATCCGAGTCAGCTCCAAAACAGAGTAAAGAGCAGTACAAGAGATTCATTCACCCCAAATTTCAAACTGAAAATAACCACTTAAAGAAGTATTGACCAGCAAAAGGTGTTGAGAATGAACCATGAATCTCCAGGAGCTCAAAGTATGCTAGTGCCTCTTTTGTGCCAACATGAAGAGCATCACAACTTGCTTTTAAGTTTCACTGTTTCCTCCTCTCCTTCTAGCTCCACATTGCTTCTGTCTTTCCTTCCATTTCCTTCTGTCTCCAGCACTGGCTAGAATCATAACAAGTCTTACAAGGAGCGGCTGAGGGAGCTGGGTTTGTTCAGCCTGGAGAAGAGGAAGCTCAGGGGCGACCTTATTGCTCTTTATAAGTACATTAAAGGAGGCTGTAGAGAGGTGGGGGTTGGTCTGTTCTCCCACATGCCTGGTGACAGGATGAGGAGGAATGGGCTAAAGTTGCACCAGGGGTGTTTTAGGTTGGATATTAGGAAGAACTTCTTTACTGAGAGGGTTGTGAGGCATTGGAATGGGCTGCCCAGGGAAGCGGTGGAGTCACCATCCCTGGAGGTCTTTAAGAGACGTTTAAATGTAGAGCTTAGGGATATGGTTTAGTGGAGGACTTGTTAGTGTTAGGTCAGAGGTTGGACTCAATGATCCCTTCCAATCTAGACAATTCTGTGATTCTGTGATAAAATCATAAAATATCCTAAACTGAAAGGTATTCAGAAGGATCATCAAATCCAAATTCTGGCTCTACACAGGACCACCCAAAAATGAAGCCATATGTCTGAGAGCACTGTCCAAGTGTTTCTGGAACTCTGTCAGGCTCAGGTCCATCTCCTTCTTGTGCTGGGGGCCCCAGGGCTGAACACGGTGCTCCAGGTGGAGTCTCACGAGAGCAGAGTGGAGGGCGAGAATCCCCTCCCGCACCCTGCTGGCCATGCTTCTTTTGATGCAGCCCAGGATGCAGTTGGCTTTCTGGGTCGCAACCACACATTACCAGCTTACATGTATGTTGAGCTTCTCATCCACCAGGACCTCTAGGTCCTTCTCCACAGTACTGCTTTGAATCCATTCTCCACCCAGCCTGTATTAGTGCTTGGGATTGCCCCAGCCCAGGTGCAGGACCTTGCAGGTCTTGTTGAACTTCCTGAGGTTCACACACTCCCACCTCTCAAGTCTGTCCAGGTAGGTCCCTCTGGATGGCATCCCTTCCCTCCAGCGCTGACCACACCACACAGCTTGGTGTCATCAGCAAACTTGCTGACGGTGCACTCAATTTCACTGTCCATGTCGCCAACAAAGATGTTAAACAGCGCCAATCCCTGTACTGATCCCTAAGGAACATTGCTTATAACTGTTTTCCGCTTGGATATCAAACCATTGACCTCAACTCTTGAAGTGCAACCATCTAGCCAATTCCTTACCCAACAAGTGATCCACCCATCAAATCCACATCTCTTCAGTTTAGAGATGAGGATGTCATGTCAGACAGTGTCAGATACTTTGCACAAGTCCACATAGACAACACCAGTTGCTCTTTCCAACTCTGCAACCCCATCGTATAAGGCCAGCAGATTTGTCAGGCATGACACATGTGGGACAGTGTCAAATACTTTGCACAAGTCCATGTAGATGATATCAACGTCTGCCCCTCTGCTCCTGTCATGAGGAAGCTGTAGGCTGCTATCAGGCCTCCCCTCAGTCTTCTCTTCTCTAGGCTGAACAAACCACATAACTTCAGCCGCTCCTCATATGTCTTGCCCTCTAAACCCTTCACCATCTTGGTAGCCCTCTTTTGGACATGCTGTTATGGCTTTATGTCCTTCTATTGTGGTGCCTAAAACCACAAATAGTACTCAGGGTGAGGCTGCACCAGCACAGAGTGGGACAAGCACTTCCCTCAAAAAGCTAAGAGCCATCTTCACCATGGACCTGTGCAGCACTTCCTCAACACATGTAATAGGTATATAGGGTCTTCTGGTCTTCTGTAAGCACACTAGGGTATCCATAGTTTGCACATGACAGCTTAGACCTCATATACACACTGATTTACATCTTTGCAGCACAGCAGAGCCTGGCCTCTGGGGTACAGTTGCAGCCAGCTCTCTCCTGAGCCCAAGGAAAATAAACTGTAAACATTATCAGCAGATGTTGAATCCTTCTTTCCAACAGCACCTGGGATGAATGCATTTGCAATTCAGGCTATGTATACATGGCTTCAGAAAGAAGTACACAATCCAGACTTTAATTACTTTCAATCTCTGATTTGTAAAACAATGTGCCATCCTGAAGACCTGAGATATACATGCTCTTTTGTTCTTCCCAAACCCTGCCTCACACCAAACAGTGATTTCATAAAGGTATTTCTTTATATTCTAAGGATGAACACATAGCAAAAAATATTCCCAGAACCATGCTGCAGTGCCTTCCTCTCTCTCTTAACCACCACATCCCATAGAGAATTGATAATCTGCACCTTGCACAGAGCTTGGAGACTTTTGAAAGCTGGTAGCAACCAGCAGATAAGGTAGACAGCTATAAACAATGACAGCACGAGGTAGCCTAAAAATGGAGCATGGCAAGCATTTACTATTGTGGAAGGGAAGAGTTTTATGCTGTGGCTGAAGATGCACATAGAAGGTCTTGGAATGTGAGCACAGTGTGATCTCTCTCTCCATACAGGAATCTGAGAAAGTATGGCACAAACATGACATCTCTCACAAACATTCTGAAACAGGCACTGAAAAGTGCTGTTTATTATGTTGTCAGGGACTGCACTTGAAAAGACGCTTCAAGGGTAGTGCTCAGTTCCTCAGATCTGCAGACACAGGCCTGTCATTTCCCATCCCTGTACATCCCTCTGGATGGGATCACACACCCTGCAGAAAAAGATTCTCCCCTGACACGTCACTGCAAGGCACCTAGAACAGCACTTCCAGAAGACAATATAGGCAAGACTAGCATGCAAAGACCTCTGTACGGTAGGTCTGTGGCTCCAGGTCACCTACCAGGGGATGGCACACTTGCAGTGGTATCTCTGGCCAGCAAGCTGCTCCACTTTGCGGATTCTTTCTGCTTGGATCTGATATAATGTCTTGCCACTGGGCAATCCCACATTGTACATGCCCTTGGGATAGCTCACTCCCAGGCGTGTTCCCTGTCCTCCAGCCAGGAGCAGCACTGCCACTTTGTTCTGTGAGATCTGATGCAAACCTGAACAGGAGAAAGAAGCCAAAGGAAACATAATAATCACAAAGACAGTCAACATTCTGTGCCCTTCTTCTGAGCCTTTCTACAGAGCTCAGGCAACAGCCAGAAGCTGACAGTTCAATGACCACTGCTGGCAGTTCAGAGAGAAATACAATGCTGCATGCAACATTAAAAAAAAAAAAAATTTCACCTCTCACTGATAGATCCATTTCCTCATTTAAAGCAGCAGATGGTTTAACAATAAGAAACAACTGTGAATTGCAGCTTAGGATGTTCATATTGGCCATTAGAATATAAATTAATTACTTGAAAGTGGTGCAGCACTGGAAAAGATATCCAAAGAGGTGGGGGCCATCCATCCCTTGAGGTTTTCAAGAGTTAAAGATAGCTAACCTCACCTAGGGCTGGGTGTGGTTCTGTTCAAAGTAAGGGGGTCCTTCAACACCAACATTTCTACATCCCAAAGAAACAGTTTCATCATCTTCAGTAAAGCATGAAGATTTCTGGAAGCTACCTCAATCGACTACCTGTACTTGTGTTCCAGCTTCTGTTTGCCTGCAGTGACTAATAGTAACACAGCAAATTTTGCAGAAGCCACAACTCCCACAATCTAATTAAAAACCATATCATTTCTCCTGACAAGCCAGAAATGTCCAGACTTTGGGGCACAATCATACAGCTCATTCACAGACTTTGTTCCCTGCTTTTTCTCAAACCATCATCACAGTAACCACTAGGCTCAAATCCAACAAAGTATTTTCCTTAGGGGACACTTCACATTCCTCTGGCATACAGTGAGCTCTTGGACTGCCCAGGTCAAAAGCTACAGCTCTTCTGCTGTACAGTAGCAATCACAGCCTTTTGCAACCTAACTCAAGAAGTATCCTGCACGTTGCTGAGCCTGCCAATGCCCCCCACAGTACAGGAGCCCATGCTTCACCACAACCTCCAAGAAGAAGACAAACACTCACATTTTAACTTCAGCAGGAACTAAAAGATTCCTGATTTGGACTGATAGACACAGGGACCAAAAATACCAAATTAGAAGGAAACTAGGGTTGTTTTTATGCTCACCTTTAAATAATTGTAATAATACTGTTGATTTCCCCATGCTTACAGGTTTCAGTCAGACTACATCAGGAACACCATGTTTCTGCCTAAATACATGTATACTGTTTCCCAAAATGCTCATAATGCCTAGTTAGGCACAATGAAGGGAGCCAGTTACACAGCACTGCCATTGCTTTGCTTAAGGACAGGGCTTTGAATTCACAGGATCACAAAACGTTGGTTGGAAGGGACCTCTAAAGGCAGCCCAACCTCATGTTCCAGGTAAGATTAGAAAAGCTTTCTCGAAGGAAACCAGCACTGAGGGTCTTGGACTTGGAATTTCAAACTTTCAGGAGGTTCCCGAGTAGATGAGAAAGCTCAAATGGGTTTAAACTTAAAATTAAAAAGGCACAGATGACTGCACTGGATGAGCTGTATGGTGAGACACTTAGATCTACTAGCTCTACTACAGCAAAGCTCCAAAGTTTCAGTTTTGTAACTCTGATGAAATTAAAATAAACTTAACTTTATGCAACAAACCACAAACAACGGTTCTATTACAGAACTTCCTACTGCAAAAGACTTAACAAAGCACTGGTGTGGGGGTCTAAAGTATAAGTTATGCCACTACTATTTGCTAGAGTCCTTGGCACACCGGTTGCTGCTGAGTCCTTGGTTGCAGGTTCCAACCTGCAACACCGACTCTCGTTGCAGCCAGGACACAGGGCTAATGTCTGGTTCATTTACAGACACAGGTCTCCATGTGGGCCCAGCGAGGCCCTCTCCAGCACACAGCACCATGGAGTGCCATGGGAAGGACCTGAGAGAAGGGGCTGCAAGACAATGCTTCCAGGGTGGTGGCTGCCTCTCCACTGGCACCCTGTGCTAACGGTGTCCTTCGAGGAGAAGAGAAGCAGCAAATTCAAGTACAAGACAAGCTGCAGAAGGGAAGCATCAGCAAGAGGATTGAGAAGTTTTGTACACAATCCTTGGTTGGTGCAGTGCTACAGCCCTGGGAAACAAAAACCTCCGGAAAAGCTTCTTTCCTCCTAGTCCCCTCTCTCACTTCCCTTCTCCCTCTGCTCACCTCCCCATATAGACATGCACCCAAACTGACAGCCACTTCAGCACTTGGCTAACTGTTGGTATTCAACTCCCAGCCAGCCTTTGTGTTCACAAGTCTGCCAGAATCCGGCCCACCATCATCTTTACTTGTTCGTGTGCCTTGGAGGAAAAGCCCCAGCATGAGAGATTCCTCACACAGCCCCTGTTGTATGACGCAAACCTACAAAACAACTTGCAGGGATGGAATGGTGAGCAATTAAATGCCTGTTAAAGGGTCAGCAGCAATGACTAAGTTACCAATGGGGGAGAGAAAGGAAAAGCAACTGTGGTTAGAAACCAAAGTTAAACTCTTCAGTATGAGTCACTGTTGTGGCAGCCACCCCCTTTTCTGATGCAGGGAACAGAGAGGAAAGTCACAGCTGTAAATGAAGCAGTGAGTGTTACCAATTGCACACATTCTGCTTATTGCCCTCCCCTGCTTTATCTCAGGAAAAGGAAAAACAACCTTTACAGTCTTGCCAAGTTCAGGCAGCACAGTATCTGATTCACTATGCAAGGAAAAGCCTCTCCCCTGGTCAATTTATCCCTAAACAGATTTAATCTTGGCTTCTCCACACTAACAATAAGCCTCTCATGAAACAAGACAAATAGCAGCATCTGAACAAAGGAAATCACACAGCCATTAGCACTGGCAAAAGCAGACTTGCTATCACTCCCACAATCAAGAGCCACTGTGAATGAGTCGTTCTCCAATGATTCCCAGACACATTAAAAATCCACAGCAGATGGTCATGGGCCCAGACATCTAGCAATGCAAAGGGCATCACCATGCCACAGTCACCCATGACCACAAAGTGCCACTGAAAAACAGAACAAGACCTTTATAGGGGCCTGTACACCCAGCGAGCACATCCTACTGAACCTAGCAGAGGGAGAAGGTGAAATATATACATCACCATCCAGTTGGCTCCAGCTACTTGCTTCTCTGGATGCAACCAAGTACCTGACTTGTTCATAGCAGCCCCAGTTGTGACACATCAGTGCCCCACTGTACTTGTTTGGAAGGTCAGTTATGAGTCACTGGACAGGTGCAGGTTCATACCAGACCAACCTTGAAACCTCTTCCCTATGCTCCAAATCCAAGTATTCATTAGTGTTCATCCTTACAGAAGCTGAAAGCAAGGACAGGTAGCCTGGGAGGAATACTGAAAAACAGTCCAAGTAGGCAAGGATCAGGTTAGGAAAGCTAAAGCCCCGATAGAATTAGATCTGGCCAGGATGCCAAGGGCAACCAGAAAGGCTTCAACAGGTACATCATTGATAAAAGGAAGACTAGGGAAATGTGGACCTTCTCCTGAAGGAAATGGGAGAACTGGTTACCTAGGATATGGAGAAGAATGAGGTACTCCACAACTCTTTTGTCTCAGTCTTCACTGACAAGTGCTCTAGCCACACCACTCAAGTTGCAGAAGACAAAGGCAGGGGCTGAGAAAATTAAGAACTGCCCAATGTAGGAGATGATCAGGTTCAAGACCAGCTAAGGAACCTAAAGGTGCACAAGTCCATGGAATCTGATGAGATGTACCTAAGAGTCCTGAGGGAACTGGCAGATGAACCTGGTAAGGCACTATCCATCATATTTGAGAAGTTGAGGCAGTCCAGTGTTCCCATGGTCTGGAAAAGAGGAAACACAACCCCCACTTTTATAAACTGAAAAAAGGAAGACCTGGGGAACTACAGGCCAGTCATTCTTACCACTATGCCAGGCAGGATCATGGAGCAGATCCTTCTGGAAATTATGATTAGGAACATGGAAAATAAGGTGATTGGTGACAGCCAACATGGCTTCACTAAGGGCAAATCACGCCTGACAAATCTGTTGGCATTCTACGATGGGGTTACAGAGCTGGAGGAAAAGGAAAGAGCAACTGGTGTTGTCTATGTGGACTTGTGCAAACTATCTGACACTGTCCAACATGATATCCTCATTTCCGAACAGAATGTGTGGTTGCGACCCAGAAAGCCAACTGCATCCTGGGCTGCATCAAAAGAAGCATGGCCAGCAGGGTGCGGGAGGGGATTCTCGCCCTCCACTCTGCTCTCGTGAGACTCCACCTGGAGCACCGTGTTCAGCCCTGGGGCCCCCAGCACAAGAAGGAGATGGACCTGTTGGAATCCAGAGGAGGGCCACAAGGATGATCAAGGGGCTGGAGCACCTCTCCTGTGAAGATGGGCTGAGGGAGTTGGGGGTTCAGCCTGGAGAAGAGAAGGCTCCAGGGAGACCTTATAGAGGCCTTCCAGTATCTAAAGGGGGCTACAGAAAAGCTGTGGAGGGACTCTTTTTTCAGGGAGTGTAGAGATAGAACAAGGAATAGCTTTAAACTAAAAGAGGGTAGGTTTAGGTTAGATGTTAGGAACAAATTCTTTGCCATGAGGGTGGTGAGGCACTGGAACAGGCTGCCCAGAGAAATTGTGGGTGCCCCATCCCTGGAAGCGCTCAAGGACAGGTTGGATGGGGCTTTGAACAACCTGCTCTGGTGGGAGGTGTTCCTGCTCATGGCAGGAGGGGTGGAACTAGATGGTCTTTAAGTTCCCTTCCAAGGTGAACCATTCTGTGATTCTATGATTATCTAAGCCTTGTGTTACTGCAGGGCTAGTGCAGATGGAACTTCCCCATTTGGCCTCATATATGTGAGCAGGACAGCCCTGAAGTGCCTGGTATCTGGCTCCTTCCACTGAACTTCACAGAAGTTTCCAGTGGAGGAAAAAAAAAAATACATGAGGGAAAAACTTACAGGGGAAAGTATAATCTAAAAAAGTTCCCATGAGACACTTCTGAACCAGTTTTGTTTCAAAAGGATAATAAAATAATTTTAAAATCCCTAAAT